AAAAAATCAGTTTTAAAAAATACAATAGATGATTATTAATATTATCAATAAACTATAGAACTTTTAAGTCACCATGTTTGCAAACATTAACTAAAATCTCTTACCTCTTCTGTAATCACAAAACAACACATCGCAAACACTACCAGACACAACATATATTTTTTTCAACTTTTCATCGTGAATACTGTCCAAACTTCTAATTTTCTTCAGTTTGTTTACGAACAACTGATGATCGTTGATGAGAAACACAGCTATTTATAATGTGTTTGCTGTTTTCTTTTCAAATAAAATGTAGATCATTCAAGAATTTTATTGTCTATTCAAGAATTCTATTGTCTTTTCAAGAATTTTATTGTCTATTCAAGAATTCTATTGTCCATTGACAATTTAGTGAAGCACATACAAATGCAATTCAGTCACCATTAAACCGAATAAACGTGGTATTTTTAAATTATTACCAATAAAATAGCCGCTTTTATAACTTGGAAAGAATGAAAAAAAAAAATTGCAAAACGGAAGGGAAATGCAGCGTATAGCAAGCATGCGTATTGCGACTCATATATACATTCGTTAAAAAATTTCGACTGCATTTAACAGCAGCAGCTATATGCAGTCGAAAAATATGAATATAATAAATAAATATAAGGTTAAAAATCCGACTGCATATAGCGACACCAGTCTTCTCGACTGCATATATAAGCGGCCAAACTCGTTTGTATCTCCATTTTTCTTAATTCATTAATTCAAATTCTTTTCGGATTTCAGGTGAAATAGAACAAGGTCGTTACATTGAATGGCGAAATAATGGTCTTTGCAAGCAAATGGAAACATCATCGATAAGCTAATATAGCAAACCAATGCAAATCTTCAATAGATTCATCATTTTAATGAACTCCAGCCTACTCAAAGATCCAATTTTCATGCTGTTTGGTTTGTCCAGCTCTACCACATGTTTAGGATATTATGTTCCCTACTTTGCACATGCTGATTGAGCAATCGAGCTTGGTATATCGAATGATAATGCGAGTTATTTACTTTCAATAATTAGCATTTCGAATGTTTTATGTCGTATTCTTATGGGCTACATATCGGACAGACCATGGGCAAATAGATTGTGGGTGTTCAGTATATGTCTCTTCATTTGCGGCGTTGGTAAGCTACATGTGATTGTTTTAGTTTTTTTTTAAATTAAATTACTAGCTTTTCTCTATTGATGTGTTTCCAGCAACTGCATCATCAGTTTTTTGTGTTGATTTTAAGACACTCACCATTTATTCGGCTATATTCGGATATATGAGCGGTGTGTATGTTACATTTTCTCCCGTCATTCTCACAGATCTAATGGGCTTAGCGAGATTCGAAAATGCATTGGGATTGATGATGTTATTCGAAGGAATTTCATCATTCCTTGGACAACCAATGGTCGGATATTTATACGATCGAACACATTCATACACTCCTGGTTTTGTATTGGCCGGTACAATGATCGCATTGAGTGGCTCGGCTCTTTTTGTAATACCAAAACTGCAAAGGCGAGCAATGAAAAAACAAATACAATACAAAAATGACCGTAGTGAAAGCAATGTTGCGTCATGATTTAAGTTCTTTTTTATCTATTCACTTTCTATCGACTGCACTAATTTCCAACACTATATTTTCGCATAGAATTGATGACAATGAAAAAATTCTAAATTTTTGTTTAAAAAAAAAAAACGATTATACACCACACCACAAAATAAAGATATTGAAATGTTTGTAATGCTTTTTTTTATAAAATACAACTTTAATGGTGATGTTAGCTTTTTTTCAATTCATTGTTTTTTTTTTAACTGGTCACTTACCAACTGAATAAGCGGAAAAACAGACTCAATGTAATTTGCTTAGTGTCGCTTACTTTCAGAGAGAAAGAGAAAAAGAGACTTAATTATAAATGCATATGGACAGCGACGAGGTCTACTCGCTTGAGTTTTGTATTCAGTGTTAAAGTGCAACGTGACCGCTACGAATTAATTGACGGCTTCGTAGATATTCGTTTCTGAAATTTTAGATAATTTGATGAAAACTTGTGTCATAGCATAAATTCGTTTCTTTATTCATTCCGATTAAATTCCAATTTTTGAACAAAGTGTTTTAATGCAATTGCATTTTGAAAAACAGTGTCCGACAAATTTCAGGTGTTGAAAAAAGTGAATAAATACAAAAATGGCCCTAAACGAAACATCTCAACAAAAATCAACTAAAAAGGTTGAGGATAAAATTTTTGTCGAACCTCTTAAGCCACTTGATGGTGGCTGGGGATGGCTTATCGTCGTCGGATCATTTGTTATTAATTTCATATGTAAGTCGAGTTGAATCGAGTTGAATATATTGTGTAGATTCAAATATCCAATGTGAACACGTGACACACAATGTGTGTGTGTGTGCGTGCATTTCATTTTGAATTTGTGTTAGTGCATTATGTGTTATTAAATGTAATCATTTTTTTTCTCTCCAAAAAAAAGCTGACGGAATCGTGTGCTCGTTCGGGGTAATATATGTTCAGCTGTTGGATGAATTTAACGAAGGCAAAGGATATACGTCTTGGATTCTGAGTTTAATGTCTGGAATGGCATTATGCGTAGGTAATATCAATTCCACCACAATTCAACGAATGCTTTCAAAAGTTTTGCATTTCATTCGCCTAAAAAGGTCCAATTTCATCAACATTTGTAAATAAATATGGATTTCGTGCGGTGACAATTTCTGGTTCAATATTGGCCGCTGTCAGTCTCTTCGCCAGCTACTATGCACAAAATGTATTCACACTGATCATAACAATTGGTAAGAAGAGCAAAATTGTTCTCCAAACTTGTTGTTCTAACAAAAACTTTTCGTTCTCGCTTTCGTAGGTTTTATGCTGGGGAGTGGTTTGGGTTTGGTTTATTTGCCGGTAAGAATTTACTTACTCAACGCACACTAAATCACGATAACAATTGTACGGTTCTCTATTCAACAGGCAATAGTTAGCGTTACAACTTACTTTGAAAAGTATCGATCGGTTGCAGTTGGTAATTTACTTTTTACTTGGTTTAACATTCAACGTAATTTAATTAAAGTCTCTTTGATTCCCACTCACAATGAATTCAAATGAAAAAGGAATTGCAATGGCAGGTAGTGGACTGGGTACGTTCTTTGTTAGTATGTTTGTTATTTATATGTTATTGTTATTAATATGTTTTTTTTTTTTGTTATTTATTAGGTACGTTTGTGTTCGCACCTCTTGTCGATTTCCTGAATGAAGAGTATGGTTGGCGTGGGACTCTCATGGTAATGTCTGGAATTGTTCTGAACTGCGCAATTTTTGGTGTGTTGTTTCGACCGCTGGCATCGTTCAACGAAGAAAACTCCCTTTCCGAGCATTCGGATTCATGTTCGTGTTCACGCATTCAATTACCAGTTCACATCTTCTTTCCGACGATTCAAAGATTTTTTTTTTTTGTCTTTGGTTTTTAGTTGAAAGTAAACGAAACTGTGATGCAGAGTCGCATCGAAGCAGTCATCATGAGCATGGGCATTTGAAATCGGAGCAGATACCATTGCCGCAGTCAAATAATTCCTGCACGAATATGTCAATCAAAGTCTACAAGAATTTTGTGAAGATGATGAACCTTGGTCTTCTCAAAGATCCCATTTTCGTTCTATTTACAGTGTCCGATTTTGCCACCAGTCTTGTGTATTATGTCCCTTATTTCATCATCATAGATCAAGCAACCGAGCTCGGTGTGCGAAAAGACCAAGCAACACATTTAGTTTCGATCATTGGGATTTTCAATACTTTGGGCCGTATAATGTGGGGCTATATATCGGATAAACCGTTTGTGAATAGGCTTTGGGTGTACAATATTTGTCTGACTATTTGTGGTTTAGGTGAGAATGTTTGATTTTTGAAGAAATTTTTTTTACATTTTCAATTTTATTCGATATTCTTCTTCTGTCTCTGTTCAACAGCAACCATCGCATCTGTTTTTTGCTTCGATTTTAAAACGCTGGCCATTTTTTCGGCTGTGTTTGGATTCACGATCGGTGCATATGTCGCCTTGCGCTCAGTTATACTCGTCGATCTATTGGGCTTGGAGAAGTTAAACAATGCATTCGGTTTGCTGATGTTATTTGAAGGCTTAGGTGATTACTTTTGGTTTTGATTTGCATTTTGGTTCACATTAAGTATTTTCGTTAAATTTTCAGCCACATTCATGGGTGCACCGTTGGTTGGGTTCCTTTACGATATTTCAAATTCATACACTCCTGGATTTCTGCTGGCTGGTACCATGATTGCTCTATCCGGATTCATTCTATTCTTTCTGCCCTTGTTGCAGAAACATACATCTAAGCATAATCCGGATTTGGAGATGACTTAACTAAAAGGCGTGATTGCATCATAACATTTACACCAATTAGAATGATTTTATTTAAGTTGAAAAAAATAAATAAATATATTCTTGGAATAAATAAATGCTCCAAATTTTTTATCATTCACCAATAACCGTTGTTGTTTCATTTTCCAAACAAATGTTACTCCAATCAGTCAAGTGATTTTGCGCTGAAAAATATTGTTCAGAATGATTTCTATAAATAGCATAGCGGCGAGCTATCTAAAATTAGCTACAGCAGATTGTCAACATTGGTTAATTGAAATGCATTCAATATGAAATTGTGAAGATTTTTTTTTGCGGATGCGCCACCACCGACGACGAGCGTGTGATTAATCGCAATGACCCCATGTGCTTAATCACAAATGACGTAAATCAATTGGATGTAAAACGCGCATCGAGTACTGATAATTTTTGCATATGATCCGCAGTAACTTTGTTGCATTCAAAGTGAACTCACGGAAATAAATAGCTAGTCAATTTTTCAAATTCCTACTTGGTGGAACGTGTTTCATTTAGCACAAAGTATTTGGAATTAAAACATATTTTATGCTTAAAAGATTGTTTTTATTAAATTTTTTAATGAAAAATTGAAATCGGCTCGATGTATTGATTTGACATTAAATTCGTGTTATCAAAAAATAGTAAATTGGAGAAAAAATTGTGTTTCTTATAATTGGTTTAAAAAAAAAATGGCAAATGACACACCAACACGGCGAAAATTGAACAACAGCATCACCGCGGATAAGACTGAAATTGAAGCACCAGACGGTGGCTATGGATGGATTGTCGTTTTTTCATCATTTTGCATTCACATAATCAGTTAGTCAAAAAATGTTGAGGTTTTAATGCAAAACTAATAACGATTTTATCAACGAGAGCGATGATGACGCGACTAATGCAGGCAACTGATAGTGTTTTTGTATACTATTTTACAGCCGATGGAATAACATACTCATTTGGCGTGTTGTTCATCCAATTGTTGGATGAATTCAAGGAGGGAAAGGGATATACATCTTGGATTCTCTCACTTATGTGCGGTATAACGCTGTGTTCAGGTAAATTAACCGAAAAGCCACCATTATTTCTATCTATTCAAGTATCAAGGGATTTTAATTTTGCTGCAGGTCCCATTTCATCATTGTTTGTCAATAAATACGGTTGCCGTGCCGTTACGATTGTCGGTGCAATACTCGCTTCAGCTTGTCTCTTCATCAGTGCCTATGCACAGAATGTACTCACTCTCATCATAACAATTGGATTCGGTGTAGGATGCGGACTTGGGTGAGACTGATACCTTTTTTTCCCGCTTGATTCTGTGCATTTTTATTAACATCCTTGCTTAATTGATTTTTTTTTTTAATTTTTATTACTCAATAGGCTCATTTATTTGCCGGTAAGTATACATTCACGTTAGATTTATGCAGGATTTCCATTCATTTAAATTCTCGCATTCTTCAACAGGCCATCGTTAGTGTTGCAATGTACTTTAAAAAATATCGATCATTGGCAACAGGTAATTGAACTTGTCCTTCTGATTTGATTTGAAGTGAAACAGTTAAATTCTATTTCATTCCATCTCAAATGCAAAAGGCATCGCAGTCGCAGGTAGCGGTTTGGGTACTTCGATCTTTTCGCCTCTCATTGCATTCTTTGCCGAAGCATATGGCTGGAGATATTCAGTGTTGCTTCTCGCGGCGATTGTGTTAAATAACGCAATTTTTGGAGCTCTGTTCAGGCCGCTAACAGCTTCATCGCAGCAAACAGCTCCGACGGAATACTCGGATGCATGTGCGTGTTATTATCATATTTTTAATAAAAGATAAGTTTGCGTGTTATGCGGTTGATTTGTTTTTCAGATCAAAGAGATGATATTTGTGAAATGGAACCCGTACTGAATAACCACCATCATTCAAATGGAAAGTCAATAAATAATGGCGTGTTAATAGATAAAAACAAGGAAAATGACAATAGATCATTGAAAGAATCCCAAAAGCTAATCCCATGCAACGGAGCACTTTCACGACCTGATATTTTTTATCGCGTAAGAAACTGCCTTGAGCTTCATTTTAAATCACCGCTTGATCATCCTTGATCCATATACTTTCAGGGTTCGCTACCGAATATACCGAATTCTAGGTCACCTAGTGAACTATCAATCAATAGATACGGCTCGATTCGACATATTGAAGAATTTGAAGTGAGTATTTTTTAAAGACTTATGCTTTTAGAAGTTGAATTCTCGAAGGATTTTGCTTTATGCATTAAAATTTTCATAGGATTTATCATCAAGTGGATTTCGCTGTGGATGTATTCCGGTTGATGCGTATAAGAATTTGGTCCAAATGACAAATTTTAGTCTGCTCAAAAATCCTGTCTACATTTTGTTCATTGCATCGAATGTGGCGACTACTCTTGGATTCTATATTCCGTATTTTTATCTACCGGATCGAGCCAAAGAACTTGGTGTTTCTGAAGAAAATGTGGGCTATATGATAGCAACTATTGGCATAGCTAATACATTCGGCCGTATCATCTTGGGTTATATTTCGGATAATTCGTACAAACGTCGACTTTGGGTGTACAAAATATGTCTCTTTTCTTGTGGCATTGGTGAGAACGACTATAAAATATTGTCTAATCACATATATTTCAATCATGGAAAGTAATTGTTACCTTTATCTTCAACAGCAACGGCTGCCTCAGTTCTTTGCATGGATCTACCCTCTCTGATTATTTACTCGGCTGTGTTTGGATTCACGATTGGCGCCTATGTCGGTCTAACTTCAGTTATTCTTGTCGATTTGATTGGATTGGATAAACTGACCAATGGCTTTGGTTTACTATTGCTATTTCAAGGAATAGCCAGGTAATTCTAATGCAATTGCGGTATTTTCCAATGAAACTGATTTGTATTTTTTTTCTGTTTTTTATTTAAAAAAAAAAAAGTTTCATTGGGCCACCGATAGTCGGAATGCTTTACGACCAGTTCAAGACATACACACCCGGTTTTGTGCTTGCTGGATCGCTGATTTCTTTCAGTAGTTTCTTAGTTTTATTTATTCCACGGTTGCAAAATCACGTTGCAAATAGTTACTTACGGTTTGAAAACGAACAACCATAATCAATTTATTCATTATTTTTTCATATTGCGTTTAGTCGATTTTTTTAAGCCATCATTTTTGATTATAAATGGTGAATAAAACATTTATATAAATCTTGTTTTTTTTTTTAGAAAGTTACTGTATTTAGCTCAACTTTATCCAATTGCTGTGTTAATTACTCACGTATGTATTCTAATGAAACGAGTCAAGACGCGCGTTTATATGAAAAATGCACCCAGATTAACATTCACTCTTTTGCTTCTCCACAATACTACTCAATGACGCGGTTTGTATCATTACAATTACATCGACAGCGACACCGACAAATATGCGATCATTCACATCAACCCGACCGATGTGTATATTGTCAACGTGAATGAAAGTGTAAAAAAAAACGAAGTCATGCATACACACCAGTTGATTTGCTGTTGATTATTTTGTGATTTTTAGTTTTTATTGATGTATAGATGGGCAAGCTAAACACATCACAGAGAACCGCCAGCAAGATCACATCTCTGACAAAAACTCCATTCGCTTGACCGAGTCAATTTCAGTTTGAAATTGCAACGCGAGTGCAACAGTTTCATCAGATTAAATCTACGACACTTCACAAGTTCTTTAGTTTGATAAAGTAAAGTTCATAGCATTTTATTTGAGTTTGCACTCAATTTTGTAAAGTTTCTTCGATTTTAATTTTAGTTTTCCATTTAATACGATAAACTAATTAAAATTACTCTATCGCATTTGAGAGGAAAGTTTGAAATCACATAACGGGTTCATCACAAAATACTCGCGAAAATCATTTGGAAAAGAGAACGTAATGATGAACGGTTGAAGTCAAGTTGAAAAAGGTGGAAAAAGCTTCAAAGTGAAAGAAAAAGAAATAAAGTGAAAAGTGATACGAATCAAATCAGCGATAAGAAGAAATAAGTAAGGAAAATACTTAAAATGACACACGGAGGTCCAGTAAAGCGAAAACCACCGGTCGATGGAAATAATATGGTCGAAGAGTTTCCATCACCACCAGACGGTGGCTACGGATGGATTATCGTCTTGTCATCGTTTCTCATTCACATCATCAGTAAGGATTGCTCGACTGCTCTTTTTATACATCAAACAAACTTTCTACCTACCTTTCTACTTTTACTTGTGCTTTTCAACACATAGCCCTCTACAAAATCATAGTTTGCGACAATTTTTCTTTTCTTCAAAGTTCATACGCGTGTCAAGGACGACGACGACGACGACGACGACGAAGAGTTTGCTTGCAAGAAGCTCAAAATTGAATTAAATTGTTTCCCTCAAGGCAATCAAATGTGAAGTGATTTACCGTTAAATTCAATGCAGCTTCGATTGGAGAAATGCGATTATGTGCAGAACGAGTTCACTTCGTTAAATGTCTTTTTTGCGGAAGATACTTTACGTTTTGCTTCCAACTTGAGTTTGTTTACTGATTTAGTGTAGATTTGATGATCTGATCTTGACATGAGAATCCACATTTAAAGTGTTTGTGACTAATTTCATTCGAATAATTGAATTGGTTCAACTTTTTCAACGGGATAGCAGAAAATTGCCGTTTAAAAGAAATGATATTCATTCAAACTCGATTTGTTCGACATATTTCCCAACTCCGAGGTAAAACCATTTAAACCCAAATGAATGTAAGGTGGTGCACGGTATCATAACTGAATAGAGGTAGTTTCAAACTGGAATTGCTGTTGTAACAGCACCCATTTCATAGATCAACAAATTAACAAGACTAATAATTGTCGCACGCTTAACACATTAAATTATTGAAACCAGCCAGACACATGATCAATATTTTACAACGTTATTCCCCAAAGCACGTCGCACGAGTGAATCCAATATTTTCGGAGCGGTTATTTTGGAATTCAAATGGAAATATAAAAATCACACACAATGCAAAGAAATCATTTAAATGCTTTTATTGGCACTTCCATAAAATCTTAACGGTCGGAAACGTTTTCGTTGTGTTATCACCATTTTTGGTGGCGTCAAGTGCAAAAAAATAATATCGATGACATTGTCGCTCTCCATCTCTCTCGCTGGGAATGACAAAAAAGTTGTTGTTTTGCTTTGTCAACAGAACAAAACTAAAAATGAACAATCGCACTAGAATGTATTATACAATATATGCAGTTTCTCATGACATAATCGCATTCTTTGAATGGGTTTCATACAGCCGCCGACCGGATTGTAAATCAAAGTATATATTACGTTATTGAAGCATAAATTTGTTTATTACATGAGCAAATAAACACACACCTTCACACTCTTTCTCTCTCTCTCTCTCTCTCTCTCTCTCTCTCTCTCTCTCGCTTTTTTGCAATTTTGCTACAATTCAAACGCTTAAGGCCAACATCATATTGAAGTAATTTATCAGTCGTAATTCAACAGAAAGAACTGTTTGCTCGACAGCGCTGCTGCACTTAGAATGAGAACGATTTTTGTTTGCTTTTTTGCAATTTAATACAATTCAAAGAATTGAAATCGCCATGGCAATTGTTTGCATACTCCGCAAAAATGACAAAATAGACAAAACATTGGACAGAAAAAAAAAATATATTCAAGTTAAAGAGAAGAAAACAGAAGTAAAGATTATTATTATCAAACATATGTTTGTCCATTCATATGTTAATGCCGGTGATCACGAACTTAAGCTTGGAGCGCAACAATTTTTATGTTTACCTTGACACTTGTTTGTGCATATCAACTATTTTGTTTCACTTATCTTTGTTTGTGTGTGCGTTATTTTTTTCTCCAGCCGATGGAATCACATATTCGTTCGGTGTGATGTACATTGAATTATTGGAAGAGTTCAACGAAGGAAAGGCATATACGTCTTGGATATTATCGTTAATGTGCGGTATAACATTATGCTCAGGTAACTAACTGCCAGCCATTTTATTCAATTAATCTCAAACAGAAATGAACGAAACGAAGAGTGAAAGTAACAAGTTTCTCGATTGTAGGTCCGATTTCATCTTCATTCGTGAACAAATACGGTTGCCGCGCTGTAACAATTGTCGGTGCAATATTGGCTTCGGCGTGTCTTTTAGTCAGCTACTATGCACAGAATGTACTCACGCTTATCATAACAATCGGAGTGGGAGTTGGATGCGGCCTCGGACTTATCTACTTACCGGTACTTTGTTGATTCAAGTTCATGTTCAAATTACCGTAAAAATTGCCATTCAATTCGTCATCAAGTTGAAACCGTTATACTTTTGTTTATCTTATACCACAGGCTATTGTTAGCGTCTCCTCATACTTTGAAAAGTACCGTTCCATCGCTATAGGTATTTCATTTATGAATATTGTTAAAGTAATTAAAACTTAAGTGATTTTTTTGTTTCGCTTATTTTCGAATGTAAGGAATTGCGGTCGCTGGGTCAGGTTTAGGAACTTTTATATTTGCGCCTGTCGTTGCGATTCTCATTGAAAATTTGGGTTGGCGTCAAACTTTGCTCGTTTTGTCCGGAATCGTGTTGCATTGTGCCGTATTTGGAGCGTTATTTCGACCATTAGAACCAACACTTCGGCCCATTTCACCGAGTGAGCAACTAAAAACAAGTTTGTATCTTTTTAATTCGGATGAGAGTTAATTACTTTCTTCACTGTCATTTTCTTCCTCGCACATTCTCCGGTTAATTCACTTTAGATGAAAAAGTAAACGAATCTCTGCAGAATGTTCAAACTAATGGTGCTGGCAGAATGTCGTCAAAATCACGGGTTCCATCGATGCGTGTGCCAAGCATAACGGCCATTGCCGAAATTGGAGACACACAAATGACTCGATCGCAAAGCGTGGGCCATGGCATGAGAGCATCTCAGTATTGTGATAAAACCAATGATATTCGATATATGCTTAGCCAACCGCTTCTTACAGACACTGGACGTGAAATCAAACCGCTCAGCGAATCACGTAGACGCTCCAGCGGTACACTGTCACGGCCAGACATCTTTTATCAGGTACGAAGTACATTTGAAAAATCAAAAAAAAAATCTGATAAATTCGAGAGCACGACAAACACAAAGTCATACAGTCTGAAACTGTATTCGCTGGCTAACATATGGCGATCGAGTGTTATTGACTATTAATTAGAATCTCGTGCATCATCACAATTGCGATCACGGTCATCATAATTGAACTGAAAGTTAGATGATTGCAATTGATAACACATTCTGTGAAAAACAGTTGAAATTGAAATTGATTTAAATATTGTCGCCTCTACATCATTTTCATGATACACATTGCATTTCGTTCACAGTGTTATGACTGCGGCGCAATATATCAACGAATTTATCGACATTTCATCAATTCTAATGCAATTGCGGCATTTTTCAATGGAATTGATTCGTATTTTAAAGAACAACTTTGGACTGTGTCGTTTTTATTAAAAAATTTCACGTATATTTTCAGGGATCTTTACACAATATTTCCAATTATAAGTCACAAACTGAACTGAGAGCTGATGTAGAAAAATTCGGTTCACTTCCACGAGTCGATGAAGATGAAAATGAGGTGAGAATCCATTCGCTTTGATCTTTTTATCATAGATTCAAATTTAATAAACTAATAAATTGTTTTTTGGCATCTGCAGGAATCTTCGCCCGAAAAATGCTGCGGATGTTTCAACAAAGGAGAGAATTTCGTTGAAATGATCAATTTCGGCCTACTCGTCGATCCAATTTTCCTCGTGTTTGTCCTATCGAACTTTTCAACATGCCTCGGTTTCTACGTACCATATTTCTGCTTGGCCGACAAAGCCAAAATGTTCGAAATGTCAACCGAAGAGGCGAGCTATTTGCTGTCAACCATTGGTGTAGCCAATACTATTGGCCGTATCGTTTTGGGATACATTTCGGATAAATCGTGGGTGAATAGGCTGTTGGTTTACAGTGTTTGCCTCTTTGCTTGTGGCTTGGGTAAGTTGAATACAATTAGTTTTGAAAAAAAAAAACAAATTATGAATAAAACCAAAATTTTCAATCTCTTCAACAGCAACGGCTGCCTCAGTTCTTTGCATGGACTTTTGGTCATTGGTGGTTTATTCAATTGTGTTTGGGTTCACGATTGGTGCCTATGTCGGTCTAACTTCAGTTATTCTTGTCGATTTGCTTGGTTTGGAAAAGCTCACAAACGCTTTTGGCATATTGTTACTGTTCCAAGGCCTTGCCAGGTAATTCTAATGCAATTTCGGCATTTTTCAACGAAATTGATTTGCATTTTTTTCGCTTTTTTTATTTTTAAAAAAGTTTCATTGGGCCACCGATAGTCGGATATCTATATGATCAAACACACACTTATACTGCGGGGTTTCTGTTCGCCGGCACCATGATTGCATTATCAGGGTTTATTTTGTTCTTCATTCCCACCCTACAAAGATACTTCGCCAAGAAACAAACGCGAAGGGAGATCAAACAAAGTGCAAAAGTATAACCTGTGTTATGAGATGTTTTATTGTGCGTTCTCCGAACACTGTTCTCAGAGCAGTGCTCTGTATTCTGCATTTGTATAAAAAATAGATTTCTCTTGTTATTGAAAATATGTTGAATGTGTTTTGTTGTGTTAATTTAAGATTAGAAACATTTTCCCAATTTAATTGGTTTCAGTGAACAGTGCTCACTATTCACGATTGATATCAGTTGGTGCCGCTGAAGAATTACCTAAAATTATTTTTGCCGTTTTCCAAAGTTGATCATCATCGTTTAAGAATGTGTCAATTTCCTATTTAGAAAACAAATAAAAAAGATTTATTTTCTCACATTGAATCAACCTCGCTTTTGATTAATAGCTAGAAACTAACCGATACAGCTTGATCATGGTCACCATGGCTGGATGATGATTCGGGAAAAATTTTCAACTGTTGTCGAATTTTGAACAGTCTGTGTGCCAAATATCCCTTCAATGAACATTCGCCCAGTCCAAGTTTATCCATTATTCTGAGAATATCTTCACAAAATCCTTTAATTGAGCTTAAATCTGGAATAGAAAATACTTATTTGAAACCTTATTTAAAGTAAATTGTATTTATTTTTGTGTTAATTTTATATGGAATAATTGTCTATATATTTTCATTTAGGCTATGCATAACCTTCAAAACTCATTCCATCACACTTCCAGATGGCTTTCAGTTTTGCTTCCACCACGAATTGATTGCATTCAGGTACCAGTTTGTACAATCGTCCTTCCATAAAATGCTTTAGATCCGATATTGTAAAATTTTGATTTAAAAAATTCTTCGTAATTGCGGCTGACATATCTTGTGTTTGCAGTAAACGTTTGTTGTCGCAAATCTTTCCGCACACGTTGCATTTGCCCTCTGTTTTAAATGATAGTTCCAGGGGTAAAACCATGCCATTACAGCTCTTGTCGACGCATCGAATGGCCGATAAATATGTTGATTTTTCCGTTGGATCAGCGCATCGTTCGCAAGTGCACTGAAACTGTTTCGATATCGCTGTGAACATTCGACGTGACGGAGTTCCCCACAAAATCTGTGCGTACGATATGAAAATCTGTTCACCTTTTTTAATTGGACGCGCGGCAAAAATTCGGTTTACGAATTCACTGTCTATATCGTGGCGCGCATTTGGGACGCAATTGTGATTAATCAAACTCATGATCGGATAGAAGCTGCGAACGTTTACATCGCCGCAATTATCGGATCGGTAGAGAATCATAAATGCGTTGGCGTTTATAGCTGCTGACGCATCTCTAATAACCGCAACCGTTTCTTTGTCCCGCGGAAAATTGTCAAATTCCTTATCAAAATAGATTTCATTCGTCCAACTGGTATAATTTTTCTGCATCAAACCAAGGAATTTCTTGTGTTCTACGTTCAAAATTAACGATCGAATAATTAGCATCGCTTTTAATCTCGTGAATGACAATTCATTGGGATTTTTCGGCTTCCAGTTTTGCAACAATTCGCATTCGTTTTTGTGACGTTCAGCACATGCACTTTCACCGCACAATACAAGGCCACATCGATTCGAGCACAAATGTGAAGTCACATCGTGCCCGATTCGTTCGTAACACATTACACAAACAATTGTATCCATTTTATTGCCAGTCGGACCGAGAATCAACGGCTTATCGCCGAACAGCAACTCATTTGGTTCAATATCTCTCGTTGCAAACACACCACACCCACAATTACTGGACACTCGTAATTCACACGATTTCAACCATGTCGATACATCATCAACATGATGCTGAATGCACGTATTCAATTCATTTATTCGATTTTCACTGTCAATCATGGCGACTGCAATTTAAAGAGTTTTGATGCTACGCGTCGAAAGCTTATTGTACAACTGAATAAATTTAGCGCAGCATAGCGCTTAGGACATTTATAATAAGCGCACGCAACCTCTTTCTAAAAATAGACACTGAAATGATAAATTGAAACCGATGACCTGAGCTTATAACTTTATGCATATGAAGAGCATACGCCCGAAACCAATAACGCTATGCTATGTGACAATGCGACAATGAGAACACAAAACAACAGATCGCGTTTGATTTAAGCCAATTATAATCTCAGAAGATTTATTCCACAAAATTATAAATTTAGCATTTTCATTCCATCCACGATATGGGAATTAATGCAATTAATTGAAGCTGAAACAACAGAATTTGGACCAATATAAAGATTAGGATGAATTAAAATGAGTTGACTACTACTTGTGGATGTACTTTTATCGTTCAAATCATCTGCACAAAGATACCTATCTATTTGATTACATAAAATGTTGTAGATAAACAAATGTGCCGCTTTGAGGCTACCGCATTTTTGTATGAACAATCTGTTTACATGTCATTGACACACCAATTCCGCTGCTCAGATACGTTTTTTTTATTGCAAAAAAAAAAAACAAACAGATTTTTTAAATTTAATTAATGATACATTGAAAATTTCGTAAATGATTGAAAATTGTAAATTGTCAGAAAAAGATTCAAGACAAATTGGTTGAGTTTGAAAGTATATAAAGCAGTTGTAACAATGAATTCGCACCAAAATAGAATACAAAGCATGAAAATGAATAAAAAAAACTGTATGACAATTCAAAACAAAGGAAAAATAGTTGTTGCATAAACTTTTGAATATTTTTGTGGAAGCAATTTGAATCTGTCGCAACTATGTTTACATTTGTATGCGAGCACTTACAACTAGCGACCTCTAACTGTATACAAAGCAACTGCGTCGGTGAAGCATAGTTGATGGCTGTCATCAAACGTCACAAATACAGCGACCAAACTACATATTATCTATTGAGTTTTCAGTCTACTGAACAGTGAAATCAATCATATAAATCAGCCGACGAAATCAAGCAAAAAAAAAGTTATACAAATAAATAATCTGGGTGCAACAAATATGTTTGCACTGTTTTCGTGCAACTAAAGGAAAATGTCGAAGGCTGTGAAAAGGAAAGTTAGTGTAGAACTTCAAAAACCATCATCAAAGAGTCGGCTAAGTGTGTTTGAGCGTTTGGGCACCAAAAAATCCAAATCACTTGTAAGTTTTGCTGAAACTAACATTTTTAATCATTCATAAATTGCATTGCAAACTCACATTTCCATTTATTCACATCACGCTTTTTTTTTGTTCCATTTCCATTATTTTCATTTCGTTTGTATTTTGTTGTTTTCTTCTTCTTCTTCTTCTTTTTTCGGTTTGGTTAAGTTTTAACACTGCACGCACGCAAACACAATCCCACACACACACACACAGACACAATCAAACTCAAACTCAAACTAGAATAAGGCAACCCAAATTGATCCAAAAATTTGCTTAATTTAATCCAAACAAATGAAATTTTACTCAAAACAGTCGGAATCGTTATCGGCGGCGGTGAGTATAACCACGAAACCAATCAAGCCGGATGCCGTTGAATTGGAAGATGCTGACCCGGATATTTTAGAGAAGAAGCGTGAAGAAATCAGAAAAGAGCTTCAGTTGCAAATGAAAATGGACTCACGGCGTAAACGAAAGCATGCCGAATCAAGTTCCAGCTCCTCATCATCATCGGGCAGCGACAGTGAATCAAGCAGTTCAACATCATCATCTAGTTCATCCGATAATCGGCACAAAGCGCGGAAATTGAAAAGCAAACGCCGTGATAGCTCATCATCCGACGAATATGCAAAGAAATTGGCGAAAAAGAAGCGTGCATGCCAGAGCAAAAAGGAGGTGTTAAAATTGCATAAAATTTCGAAGAAGCATGAAATTGTTTCCGTGTCACGCAAGGCTAAGAAACGTTCACCGTCTCCCCAGCCGCTAGCCAAGAAACATCGAACTGACGTTTCGGATAAGCATCATCGTATTCGCGAAAAAGAAGTCGTGGAACGGAGTGAACTGTTGCAACGCAGTGAAAGGGAGCGAATGCGATTGAGAGAGGAACGGATTCGAAGTCGTAGCCCAAAAATTGAGCGGACAAGATCACGTACGCCAAAACGGGAACGATCGCCTGTGTTGCGTCGATCGCCATCTGACAAACGCAACCGTTCGTTAAGCCGACGAATGATTGATAGTGAGCACGAACGAAGAGAAAAAGAACGTGAAATTGCCAGGGAAAAGGAGCGGCGCGAAGCATTGCTACGATGCCAGGAGAGACAGAGAGAACGCGAACGATTGGCAACAAAATCGGATTCCAAGAGTCAACGGCTGCTACCAAGACCAGCCGAAAGGGCAATGGCACTGGCTGCTGCACAGGAGCGCAACACGGAGAAAGAGGTTGGTTACGGTACCAGTAATCGTAGTAGTTTCGGCGAACGATCCGAATCGTTCGAGCATCGTCGACACGATAAAGATGCAAGAGAACACGATCGCTCAACGTACGACAAATATGACAGCCACAGCCGAAGAGAACCAACAGAATATCAGCATAGTTCGAGCTATCGCAGAGAGTGGCACGACGAGAGCTCATCATCAAAAGACATTTATGAACGCTCAACCGAACATCAAAGCACAACACGCGATTGGGCAGATCACAAGCGCAGTGAAAATGTTCGTGCCGGTGGCGATTATTCGGATCGCAAAGAATGGAATGAAAGTACACCGAAATGGGCGGACACTAGAAAGCCACCCACAGAAAAGTACGATCGAAGAGCAAATGATTATGCTCCGCATACAAGCGGAGGTCGCGGTTATTCCGAACGTTCCGAATCGTTCGATCCAAATTCAACGAGCTCTGTGTCATCGAAACCCATCGCTGGCAGCAGCATCCGAGGACGATGGAATAGCAGTTGGCGCGGAAGAGGACGTGGCAGTCATCATAGCGACTTTCGCCGGCCCCATCATCATCACACGGAAATACTAGAAGAACGTGGCGAAATCTACCGACGACACATCAATCCGCAGGGAACAAGTTGTAAGAATGTTCATACCAACATTTCATCATTGGTATCAATTTTTAGTAGGAAAAAAACGCCAAAATTATAGTCAATTAGTAATTTAATTTTATTTCATTTCGTTTTTTTTTTTCGTCGTCATCGTCAATTAGTGACCACCAAACCAGGAACAGCGACAAAGCCATCTTCAGAGAATCAGCCATTGACACCAACCGAAAAATCAATCAGCGAAGATGGGGCAAAATCCACAAATCCTGATGAAAATCCAGACGGTGGTGAAGAGATTGCCGACGACGATCTAAGCGAGATTAGTGATGAGGCCGATGATATTTTGGGTCAACAGGAGGTATTTGAAAAGACTTTGTTTCCATTGCAAATCTCAAAAACTTACTTAAAAAAAATTTCCTTTTCGCAAAGGACGCAAATGCCAAGACACAACCGAAGCCAGTCGAATCTACTGCCGAAAAGTCGATAACCGAAGAATCAAAAGAGAGCACAACACAATTGGCTAACGAAGAAAAAAAAACTGCTGAAAAATCGATTGACCAGAATGATTGTGCACAGCAAGTGCGTGAGAATCTAACACCAGCAAAATCGCCCGAAGAGGCCACGGATCGTTCAAAAGACTTGAGTGACGATATTGATTTAGATTTCGAAGAGATTTCGGACGGTGAACTGGAGGAAGAGGCGCGTACTAAAGGCCTTGGCGATGCTTTAGGTGTCGATTGGGCCAGTTTAGTCGAAGAGTCAAAGGCAATGATGCGTGAGAAATTGACCAAATCCGAGACATCTGCCAAACAGCGTTGGCATCCCGATCAAATTTTACTGGATGTTGGAATTTCCTACAAAATGGCTGGCACTGCTTTTGCTCAACAGACACTCATTGCCGCCCATGAGAATGTAAAGCGTGAATTGAAAAATGCAGCAACGATAAAAACCGAACCAGATGATGACAATTCCACCAATCACATGGATGTGGATATTAAAGTGGAAAATGACATCGACGACAATGACACAAAAGAAACGAAAGTCAATGGAAAATGCGAAGACAGGCCAATTGAAAAAGATGAACGCAAATTGATTTTGCATCCTTTGCCATGTGTTCAAACATCAGTTCAAAATTTCGCTGACAAACAGCGTAAGCTGATTTTCAAAGCATCTGGCCCGTACAGTCGTGGTCTGTGTACGAAACGAGACATTGAAATGCGCAGACAATTGTGCAACTTGGCAATTAATGAAAGCAATTGTAAGTCGGTTAATACCAGAACGGGCTACGAGAATATTGCATTGAAGCTGTTTCAAAAGGCAATGCAAGCCTAAGGTATGATGCAATAGGGGGGACAAGTCCATCAAATTACTCATCAAAATTAGTTACGAATTTAAGACGAATATGCGTCTTATATTATTCTGAATTACTCATATACGCACACACATATATAAGAAATATCGTCACCATTGGGCTGTCCATTTGGGCTACAAACGGAATTGTAGGAATATCTGGATTAAAAATAAAATATATCATGTATCAAGCATTAATAAAATCAACAAACGATCAAACAATACGTGTCATTGTCTCATTGTCTTTTGATACCTTCCCGTTGGAAAAACAAAATCAAAACAAAACAGAAGCAAATTTCGTACTTTAAACTGAAATCCTTTTATTTCTTTTAAATTGTTTTCATTCAATTTGCATATTGATTCATTTTCTTCATCATCATAATCATCGTCAATTTTTCTTCAGTTTTTTTTTTTCATTATAACCTAATAATATAATAGTTTTTATGCCCGTTTTGAGAAACCGTAATCTAACAAATAAGGTATGAACAGAGACTGCAATTTGCTCCCCGAATGACAATTCGTTTTTATTATTTTCTTGTTCAATGTTCGAAGAATAAATTATGGTTTTAAAATCATAGTTGTAAATTCATGTCACAATTCAATCATGTTTTTTTTTTCCACGCTCTAATCATTGAGTTTTACGAGCCAATCGACAATTGTTTGATTAATAATATTTTTCGTTTTTCTGTATTGTTGTCGTTGTAGCTGGCTTTAAATCAGTAATTTAAATCAAATGATGATAAAATCGGTGGTGGTGGTGGTGACCGACCAACTGACCGTTTCGTGTGCAGTGCAACAATTTCAGTCAATTAAAATGTGGATAACCGGTTGATTGATAGATAAAATCACATGTTGCGATTAGCTGCCGTAACCCTCAATGCTGTTGGCGCAATTGAATTGAATATTTTACAGCTGTGTATGTTTCACAATGTGTTTCCGTTTGATTGTAAGATAGAGAACACTTTTGCCAATTTTGTACAACGAAATGGGGATGAAATTACTGCATGCATGTTAACATGAGCCATTATTTTGTGAAATGATCCAAATGAACAACAAAAAACAAATGGCATAGTTTCTGTTGTTGTGGTTGCTGTATTTAAAAAATAGTACTTTGTTTAGCTCCTGGACAGTAGCATAATGCTAATAGCACTTGATTTCATAATAAAGTAATGAAAACGCGCAACGGATTCGACAGAATCCTGTGTTGTGTTATTAATTATACTGGTTGGTATTTTAAATATATGTAAATATATTTCTTTATATTTTAATTGGCTTAGTTATCATTGGTCAGCATTTTCTTCTTATTATTTGTATAGTTGTTGTTGTTGTCGTTTCGACTACATGTCAATTAAGTTTGTTTTCGGGTGTGTTAAGTTTTTGCGCAGAAAAAAAGTTACTTCTTTTCCTGTTTTATTATGGTTATATAATCGTATGTGAAAAATTGTTGCGGTTTCTAGAGGAGATTAAGTTGCATTCGTTGTGCTCGTGAACGTTTTGGTTTTTCTTTTTGTTTCTCATTTTATTTTGTGTGTGTGTGTAATAAAATACGTTAGGAATATGAAAACCCGCAAAAACAGTCGGCATTCATTCGTTCTCTTCGCAAATCATCGTTTCTATTTACACACGGTAGATATATATTGAATATTATGTTTACTTTTTTTGTTTTAGTTGTGTAATATGCACACACGAAAGCTCCCAAGGTTTTTTTTCTTCGTTATGAATCATACTGATTGATGGTTTGCATATTAATTCTAGTTTTGTTTAATTCAAGCAAATTGGTTCGTGCCCACTTTTCTTCCTTTTCCGCGTGTCCTTATTCCGGCTTTTTGTTTCTTCTTCAATTTTTATTTCTCTTTTCATTTTCTTCGATTCTTATTCCAAAAATTGTATAGAGGCGTGTGATGATGGACAATGAGAAAGTGTAAAACATTTCTTGATTAATATTCAAGACTTGGTTTATTCTTCGTTTGACATGAATTTTCGATAAATTATTTTCCTGTGTTTTTTTTCTCGAGATAATCAAAATATCAACAAAACAACATGTTCTACAATGATTATAGCACTTGATTTGAATTATATTTTAGCCATAATTGATTCATGCTCACTAGTTTAACTGGCACTCCCAGTGCAAATGCACATTGATTGCACACAATTTCTGGTAGACAACCGTTCACTGTTTTTCGTTTACTCTTCACCTTCATAATGCTTTTTCTCAGGCCAAAAAAATATGTGGGTAATGTTTTTGATTAATGCCAAAAATGAGATTTATTTTGGTTTTTTCGATAAATAAATAGAATTTTGAAAACAGACATTTTTCGTTTCAATTGTTTTTTGTTTCTTTCATATACTTAGTTAAATGTTTCTCGTCTCTTTTTAGCAGAGCTTGAACCCGCATTTAATAACAAAACTAATGCTAGCCTGTACTTTATAATATGGTGTTACTTTTTTTTTTTCTCTTCGTTAAACTTAATGGTAATTTTTGGTGCAAAAAGGAATTTCTCATCAGTTGTTCGAGGGCAGAGGAGAAGAGGTGGTGGTGTTGCGTAAAATGTCAATTTAAGATTTGGTGAATTTGAAATGTGAATGGTTTATGTACTTTGTTTAATGACATTAAATTTGGATGATGGTGAGGCATTCATTTTTGATCATCGCATCGCACCCACATGCGCTAATCATCTGTACACAACAAGCACACTTAGCATAGCTATATATAATTACATAAAGCCAATTTAAACGAAACCATTTCACCTAATTAAAAGCAAGTTTCTAATTTGTGAACCAATTTAAAAGATACATAATCAAATGGATAATACGGAGATAAATATCCCTTACATTTTCTTTTTTCTCGTTCGTTTGGAAGAAGTTATTAGTTTGCTAAATGAACATTTCAAATATGGATCTGGTGCATGTGTAATATAATGCATATATAATGATTTTCTTTTCTTTTCCATTTTTTTCATCTACTTCTTCACAATTTGTATCTACAAAAAAAAAGGAAACAATAGCATCGAAATGGATTAAAACTAATTTTTTTTAAGTTAGATACTTTGTTGTGTTGGTGTATGTGTTTGGGTGTGTATGTATTTATGAAATTCTGCTTAGAAATGAGAAACAAAAATTTAAACAGTCACCAGAGACCGAATGTCTTTTTTTACAACATAAAACTTATGTTTTTTACCAACTAAGCCCCAGATAACGGCCATATTCTCTATAACCAAATTAACTGGAATTATGCAAACGGCTGCGACCGCACACAATACAAACCGCGCCAAACCGAAGCGATATAACGAGAACGATTTTAGTACACCAAATACATACATATAAATATTGACGGCGGCAATAAATGCGCAAACAAAATCCATAAGGTACGGACACGGTATGGGATAGAGTCCAGCAAAGATCATATTCGATGTGGATAGCGGTAGCGTGACCCACGAATAAACGCTTACGCCTAGCAGTAGTTTGTACTTCAATGGAATCATTTTCGAGTGTACAACCAACAGGATTCCCTGTAGCCATCGTTTGCGTTGCTGCAAAAAATCGATTAATGTAAACGGTGACTTTTCGTACATTTCGCCCTCAATGAAATTGAACGTGAATCCTTGACTGAATGCGCGCATCGCAAAGAAACAGTCCTCGGCCACCGAACCATCAAGTCCATTGTCGAAAGACACTTGCTTCTCAGCTTGCAGCTGCAAAATTTCAATTTGTTTTTAATTAGTTTTCCGAATGAATGAATCTCTTACACGTAAATGAAAATCAAAAGTGCCACTCACTTGAGTCACAACGTACGACCCTTTCCAACTGAACAACGGCTTGTGGAATAGTTTGAATTGCAAACGTAACTTTCCCATGTCGTCACTCACACGAAAACTGTCGGCTAATGTTGTGAACCAATTTACAACATTCTCATTGGCATACTGAAAGTGGGGCGGAGAGGAGAGAGAGAGAGAGAAAAAAAAATCAACATGAAACTCAATTGCAGCAAAATCTAATTGCTAGATTGGAATGTTCCCAACACTTACCGTGATTAATCCTTGTCCGAATGGATGCTTTCCATCCAGAACAAAGTTGATGATGCCGCGAACACTGTTATCCGTCAACAGTGTCTCTTCATCCAAATGCACAATCCAATCGGTGTTGTTAAGTACATTCACATGGTCTTCGAGGCAATACTGTAGTGCACGTGATTTAAACAGAGCGCCTGACTTCGTCTGATAGTCATGTGGCACAACAATTTCACGGATGCGCCGATGTTTTGGTAAATTGATGGGTTTATCGGTGACCACTTCCATGAGGAAGTTTTCCAGGCCTGTGTCGAGGCATGTGTTCATGTTTCGTGTAACATTTGCTTTCACCAAATCGGGAAAATCGCCACGGGTTACAACTCGTATGCAAATGAATGGTGCCAACAGTGGGCTTCCCTTGAGCACAACTTTCTCCGGAAACGCATTATAAAATACTAGGCCGCAAAAGTTGAACAATACTTGTGGTATCGTTAGGAATGTTAATAATCTCAATGAATATAATATGATTGTGGGTATTTGGCCATATTCCGTCCACGGATCGACCACAGTGAACGAGTTCTCGTTGATTTTTATGCCGCCGGAAAGGATTTCGAAGGTGATAATCACAGCAAAGAGCAATATGCAATGAAGTACATGTTTGTACGTTGAATTCAGCATGTTGATCAATCTCATTTGGATGAATTTTTGTGTTTTTGATGTTTGATGTGTGGTGCTTGTCCAATTGTCGCTGTTGCTCTTGAACTCGGCGAAGAAGAGAATAAAAATGAACACAAATACTTCGTTTCGAATTCAGTGAATTGAAGTGCGAATGACGCGAGCGCGCTACCAATCGATTTGTTGTCTCGGCGTCAGACGTTGAATGTGCATGTGTATGAATGTATGACAAATAAACCAATTATGGGACAAACAGCAATAAATCATTAAGTAGCAATCATTCAACTATTCCGTACGTTTGTGGATCGCTTGGTTGAATGTGTCCCCATCATTTTCGATGAAACCTGCGATAACGAAAGAAAATAAAATGAATTCAAAGATAATAATTAATAACAAATGGAAATAAAATAGTTTTCTGAATCTGGAATAATGGGAATTTATTTTTATTTACTTGTGTCATGCGCAATTTTAGCCAACCATCAATTTTCAATGGAGAAACAACCTGACTGAAGCAAGTTCGACTCAAAATGATACGTTTGATAAAGTGTCGATCGACAAAATCTTGTCTTAATTCATTTAAACGTTTGTCCTATCAACGGCAGGCTTTTTTTGTCATTTCTTATCAACTTATCGATTTTATTCCACTTGATAGGGGAACGAAAAATAGAATCATTCGAATGAACAGCACAAACAGTAACTCGGGTATAGATTGCTTACGGTATCGTAGAATATTTCCAACTAGTGTTTTACTCAATTTACAAAACAGGCATGTTCTGATTTAAATAGACCCACTACACTATAGCACTAATACGACAACACAAATAGTGTTCTAACATTCGGTTCTTGTTATCGATACCATGGAAAGATTCGACCGTATGCAATTCAATGGAAAAAGAAAAAAAATCGATGGAATTTCTTTCGGTATTTTCAATTGGAAAATACCAATAGCAGAATATATCGGTTTACACATATGTAATACCGCGACGGTCCAATTTGGAATGTTTAGCGCTTCATTTTATTTATTTATCGATTAAGTGCCTTGTTAAATTCACAGCACATAACCTATATTAATATGAACGAACTTTTCTCTCTTTCTGTTAATTCTTAAAAAAAATTCTTCTATCTCTCTTCATCTGATCAACATTTATACGGTGCTAATGAAATTAAATTAAGAGTTCACCTTTTTTAGTTGAAAAAAAAAATTTCAAACACTTTGCAAGTTTACAAACATTTCACTCAACACGAATTTATGTAACACTTCTCGATTGAGTGGCGCTCCGTGAACGATGTATGGGGGAAATTGGATTATTCCACTGCCTTTCAATTGCCAATACCGAGGTGTATGATCGAAGAGAGTGTTGCACTTGGCTGATATTCAACGACGTTATCCTCAATGACGTAATGAGTATCTGTTATTGTTTTTTTTTTTTTGATAAGGCACCCACATTCCGGGCTGTGTCCAATTTCAAGTATTTTCTTTTTAATTTTCACAACCAAACTTCTATTCCCTTGACGAACTATGAAATTTAAGCCGATGCCAAAATTAAAGTTCCAAGAATGATTTATCACCTTGAAAAAGGTGACATTAAACAAAAAATTTGGTCGGTCATTATCTAAGTTGTTGGTGGGGAAAAGCCGCATTTAAAATAATTGAAATATTCTTGGCGGCAAATCATTTAACTAAATATGCGAAGTGTTTACTGATTCCATTGTGTGGCTTAGCGTGAAGTTTCAACTAAATGGATTTCTTTGTTGTTATTTTCGCGTATGCAAAGACGATAAAACACGAATAAATAAAGTTTGTTTATGGGAATGCAAGGCAACTAAAGTGTTCCCCTCCTCGGACAGCCGAAAAATAAAACAATAAAAAAAGAAGTTGGCAAATTGTGTTTGTCTGGATAACATTTTTACGTAATGTTCTCTTTTTTTTCAAAGGCAAAATAAATCTCTGAGTCAGACAATTATCTAAGGTGTTCTGCCGTGCGTCTCACTGACTTCTTTCTCATTAATAATGTAAATTAAAATGTCAAACATCACTCACTATTGCTCACAAATCAACGACCATTTGGAATTACGACGACGTTTGTTTACACTATCCGCCATCGAATTCAGACGTTCACGCATCGAATTATAGTTTCGATATTAATAAACAAGCAGACATAAACGAATGTAATCTTGATGTCGCTTCATTTGAAACAAGTTCCAACACAATTCGATGTGGGTTAAAGCTACTAAATATCAATTTAGTTATTTATTCTGCACTTTGACTCTGCCTAATTAAGCACAGAACACTATACATATGTATTTGCCGCGCACTAGAAAAATCGACGCTAACAGTTGTTGCATTGGCACAAAGCACGTCAATCCAATCACGAAACTGAATTAAGATACTCATGCAATTACCAAGAATGCAACAACACTCATGAAAAATGAAAACAAATCATATACAGCCCTAAAAAATGTTGTAAATTTAGCTATTGAAACACAATAAACCGATGACTCACATGCTACATTAAAAAAATGAAACTGCGACTCTAACTACAATCACGCACACACGAATACCAATATCTCAATTTACACGAAGATAACACGGTAAAGGAATATATTGAAACAAAAGCTATGAAACTTCGGCAAATAATCGCACACAAGATTCATCTGTTGTGCAGTGTAGCTTCAACTACGTTCTATTTATAACATACAAATGCACATGTCTAAGACCTTGGCATTGTTGAAAATTCATCTTGCGATTGTTACGGCCATACAGTGAGCAGTAAGTAACGGCAGACCACATCTACAACTCAAACACACAATTTGCATATAGTACGCGGTACGGGCAGCGTAATTTTGCTTTCAATCATTTCTATCCCGCATGCAACGTACGGGAAAAGTATAGTTTGTTATAAATAAAACATTCTCCATTCATTTACTGCGGCGTTTTTTCTCTCCTTTAGTTCGCTAATGAATATTAACAATTGAATAAAATTGCTGTTGAGATTTTAGATGTTGATTACTGCGTTAGAAGTTTTGTAAACAATTACTCAATTGAAAAGTCGCTGAACCGAAAATTGGTTTAAACATCCTGAAAACGGCTAATGAAATCGATTTACACTTGAAAAAATCGCTGCTCCCAATCAAAAATTGTTTATGTAAAATATTTAATTGTATTTATGCGCTCAATATCGGGTTTATGGGACGGTATTTCAAATACGTTTTACGATAAACACAGAATACATGGATCGAATTTGGATATGCGATAAATGCATGAATCATCAGTTCGAATTTGTTTTAACTGACATCTTATCAACACATGATATATGGAATATCTGTTGATAAAAGGGTGACATTTATTCTTGAAATACCCATATTTTTTAAAAATACAAATGATACATGCTGTCATGATTTGAGTTTAAAAAAATGGAATAATAACTACATTTCAATGGCAAGCTTATCGTGAATAGTTTCAACGGAAATATGTGGGTTTTTGAGAATATTTTTGTTGACTGAATTTGTTCTTCAATCATGAGCAAAAAGAAACCTTCGTCCACGTGCCTTTAGTTTCAATATGTTCATATCAACAGTTCTACATTAGCTAATAGCGATTGTTCACTGAACAATGTTCAGAGGATAAATTTAATATTTTCAAGTGTTTTCCCGAAAAATTCGCTGATACCAAAATATAATGTTATCGCAATCACGCATCAAATGAGTCAACGATGGCGGATTTCTATATATATTGTATTGAAGGAATTCTGTGGAAAAACCGTATAGACGTTTTTTCTTTGGAATTATTCTTTTAGTATCATTCATGGAAGTCTTAACATTTGGTATAATTGCAAAATTTGTCATTCTTCATGGTTAATTTTCGAGTGTTTCGAATTATGTATATACATCACGAGACGCTGACGCATAAGGCAAACACACATAAACACAAACGACCGACTTATTTGATTTACCAAGAATTAAAAATAATTTGCCCTCATCGGGTCCAGTGCCTGTAGCAATTGAAAAAGATTGGATTACGAATACAATCCGCTTTATTTTCTCGCTTCATTTGCTGGGCACTACGCGTAAAAATCTCTGTTTAGCGTGAAACCAGTTGTTGTTGCTGCTGTTGTTTCCATCAAAAACATCATTTGTATATTCATATAGAGCGAACTCCGAATATTTACGTCTTGTCAACATCCAAACGCGTTTTTTCTCTCAAACAAGAATTAAATTGATGACGTTGAAATGCAGTTTTTTTTTTTCATTCTGTCACTTTACCGCAGTTGAACAGAACAAAGTCATCGTAACTATATATTGGTGAGTGACAACAAGTTCAAAGTCGACATTAGCAACTATTGTGCAGTTTCTCACTCGTTTTCCGTTCGCTGCCACACACACATACACACATATATTTTAAATGAGTTCAATGTGTGAATATTTCATAGTAAACATAAGGCACAAGGAAATGAGAATGTCAACGGTTCGAGTCTCTCGCTTCCATTCACTTTCAGAATGCATGACGAACGACGATAGAGAGTCGACCATTTTGCAGTGTGCGTTCTGGTTTCATTTATTTGATGGGTTATTTGGAAGTTGGCGTAGAGTTGGAAACAGTTGGAATTTTTCGTATAAAAATAGATTTACTGACCCTTGGCAACCGATTTCCAATTGAATTAAACATTTGAACATGAAATCGATTTTGACGATCGATTTGTTGCCAAACGGTTCATCCTAAAAGATATTATATAAACAAACAGTGAAACCGCAAAAAGGAGCCGCTTAATTTTTTTTGTATTTGCGTTTCATTTGATCTTTTCCGGGCGATTTAAAGTTAGTAATTGACGGTGATGCCAGCGGCGTAGCATACATTTCGGTCGAATGGCCCACGTTTCTTTCATTTCAATTTCGAAAATAATTAGATTCAAACGGCATCGAGCCAACAAACTGAAATATGGGCCATTTTGGCGACATGCTCCGACCAATGAAACTATTTTCACTCGAAATTGTTTCTCAATTGCTCGCTAATGGCCGTCGTTGAAAAAAAAAACAAAAATCTATGCAGTGAAATGCAGAATGGCCATATAACACATGTTATTATTATTCATGAGCGAATGCGTGACACGACCGATTCGATTGGGGAAAGTGGTTTGAATTGCACTGCAGTTACGAAGAAATCCATCTCTCAAGGATTCGTTTGAATATTTAATGGGGTAAATGTCTTGCAGAAAGTGCTTTTCCCTTTGTGCATGCCTGCACGAGCGTACAATTTATCCGTTAATCGCGCTGGATGGAAGTGGCGGGCAAACGGAAAAATAAACGACGACAAAATCGACGGATAAAATGTGAATTTATGCATACGAAGGTAGAAATTACTGTAACGTATTTAATAGATTGACTCATGCGATGGCGGTTTGCCGCAATGTGTGTTGTGAATTTCGCGGAATCCAAAGAAAGCGGCTTAAAGAATTAGCTTAAAGAAGCACAGAATGTGGATTTAACGCCAAAGGTTTTCTTTTTCGTTTTGTTTTAACAAAGAATTCTCTTTTGTTTTTGTCGAACGAAGCGTGCACGGTTTATCATCGAGGAAAGAAAGAACAAGCGAAACAGAAAGAAAAAACACATCCGACTGAAGGATATGCCATTGAACACAAAACGTTATCGGCCTTTTGCACATAAAAAGGGATTTGCATGTATTCAATTCATTTGGTAAATGAGCTCCAATGGCGACACTGTGACTTAGGGCCAACGTGTGCTGGAAATTCGTCAATACTTGAATTCAAAAGCGAACGAAAATTATTATGGGTTTGGTCGTAAATAAGCTGAATGCGGAGCGCATTTTATGGGGATTTTTTCTTCAATTCTTTCATTCGTATTTCAATTTGGGCTGGTTTGCATGTACTGGGCTTGCATGCAATCGTCTGAACGAGACTGTAAGTTGAAACTGTTCACACCCTGTTTGTACGCTTGGTATTTAGTTTCCTGTTGATAATAATGCGGAGCACGTCACTCACAAATATCATTCGTTGCCAAGCTTAACGCTGAAACACACACTTTTTTCCTCATACAGTTACGATGGGATTTCGATCCATCGCCAATTGCATACAAAGGCAATACGAACAGTCGAATACACGCGTGCAAAGATAAAATTGAACACTTTCGTTATATCTCTCTTTGATTTTTTTTCTCTCGTATCTACTTGGTTTCTATTATACCGCTATCTATTCGCGCGATTACACTCATGGTTTCCGCGCTACATTAATTGTTTACTTTGAATGAAAACAGCCATAGAAAAAGAAAACTGATCATTCGGCACTGTGATTTCACTTGACTTATATTTACTCAGTGCGTAAGGTATGTATGAAGTTCGGTGCAAATCTCTTGATATTATGAGTGCATTTGTCGGTGACGTACGGCAATCGACAAAAGATGATGTGATGCAGCAAAAATGTCAAACGTGAATCACTTGTAAACAAAAATAAGAAGCAGCACGGCGAATGTGATCTCTTTTTTGGAGCTTCTTTTGCAAAAAATCGTCAAACATTTCGAAGCTACTGCGTATGAAACCGTGTGATAAGTTGTTGTTGATGTGGAAAAACACTGTACTGTGTTGGCATTTGAATCATGAATAGGCCAAGAGACTGGGTTGACTGCACTTGCTCTCTTTGTCATTTTTTTGTTGCTTCCGACAGAAACTCATTTCTTGGAAGCTTGACTCACTCACTCACACACACACACACATCTCAATTTCACATGAACTCAACTTGGTTTCATTCATCCAACGTTATTTATCACATTTTATTGCTTCATAAATTCATTTCACGATAAATAGCTGAAATAAAACCAAAATGCCATACAAGGGAATGCATCAGAAATGTCGGATTCAAAGCGAATGATTCGGTTTGGCATATATTAATTAATGATTAGCACTGTTTCATCGGAGGTTAATTCAATTGTTTCATTTCATTTCATTCTTTTTCCTTCGATAGTTTCTTTTGTATTTTTCTATAATTCATATAAAGTTGTTCACATTTATGCAATGTGTGAGTTGCTACTTGGCGATTGTTGTATATTTGATATGAAAGACAGAAAAAAAAGTATCTAACAATGTATACACACATAGCGTTATGGCAGAACTGAGACTCTTTCATATACACTCGCACACAATGCTATTTCGCATTGAAATCGGGCTTTTTTTTCTCTTTCTCTCTTGAAAAAGCGATTGTAATCGAAATTTCGATTGTTCTATACACCTTTTTCGTGTACTTGTGAATGAAAGCGATATGCCATCCAACTAAAATTAAAATATAAAACACGAAAAACAAACCGCACAAACACCAAACTCTCGCACGCAACATTACTTCAACTCATCGAACACCAACGAAGGGAGAGAGAGAAGGCGTCCGATTCTATTGAGTGTATGATATGTTATTTTCACTGCATAACAAACCAAGCAGCCAAATAATAAATATTTGAATGACCTACAGAACGATCCACTCATTTATTAATAACCAAAAAAAAATTCTATTAATGAATTGCCGTTATTTCTCTTTCTCTCTCTCTCTCTCTCTCTCTCTCTCTCTCTCTCTCTTTCTCTCTCTCTCTCTCTGTGTGTTTTTTTTCGTTCCTTTCATTTCAATTAATATCGATTTGTTCTCTTTTTTTGCTCATTTTGGTTGCTCGAAAGCACAGCATATTCACAAACGGAATGAAGCTAGAATGACACCACCCTTTCACGAGAAATTTCTCACAACTTGCACTTTATCCACAATTGATTTTTTTTCGCTTTGAACTTGTGACACTCAAAAATTTTGCGCGCGGCACATGACTCTTTTTTTCTTTTGTCCCCAACCGAAATTCCATTGAATTTTTTCAAAACTTATTCATTACGCTTTGTGGCGCTAAGGAAATTTATTATTTTTTTTCTTCTTGCTATCTCTCTGTAATTACCGGTTCAGTGTGTATCGCTGAGTGTGCAATTCCTGGTCGCTGTTCAATTCGTAGAAAAACCGAAATGATGAATCAACGAATGTGTGTGTTTTTTTTTCTTCCTTTTTTCTCACTCACTATTTGTCGTCGAATGATTCAAGCAAAATTAGTTTCCTTCTTCGAAAGAGCAGCTAGTGTAGACTCTTTTTATTTCGGTTGTTGTATGTATGTCGACGATTCGATAATAAAATTCTCTTTTTTTTATCTGTCGTCTTTTTTGCTGCACTCGATAATTTGGCTTCTAGTTGGAAAACACGACCATGCCCGACTGACTCGAATCGTTGGTTCAAATCAATGTTTCACCGTATGTGCTTGAATGAACCGACTACATGAAATCGATGAAAATAGGTTTTTTTCCCTTTCATCATATTCATACTGTTGCTACGGCTCTCATGTCAAAGTGGGTGCGATACGTATGCATTTGAAACACACAGAGAATATGAAGTACACAACAAACGAACAGCATCTACCTCTGTCAAATGGAACGAACGCTTCTTTTGCCATATAGATTGCTGCAAGCGCAAAAGAGACCAATAGCACAACACCGTATGCAGCGGTTTGAGTGTGTGAGGCCTGTTTAGAATGACGCGTTATGGCCGGGTCACAGCAATGGATAACGGCATAGGCCTTTTCTATACACTCAAACAAGCCCAATTTATCGTTGTATCCATTTAAAAATGTTGCAAAAGAATTTGTTTGGATTTTAGCCGAGTTTCTGTCGAAATATGAAGCGATTTTAAAATAAGATAGATGAAAAAGTGTGCAAAAAATGCTATAGGTGTGCAATGTTTACAGCTCATTGTTTTTTTTGTGTGTCTTTTTCGTTCATAGTGCTCAAGTCATGTGAGTGATAAGGACCCGCCAATTTCTACTAGAATCACTGTCAATAGACCTTTGAATGTAGACCGATCACAGTGTCGCCATCTATGAACGAATGACCATATTTCCCAAAAAAAAACCAACATTGAATTGATGATACCTACGAAAACCAACGGTGAAAATTTACATGAAAAATGTTTTCCTGTGTTCCTTTTGCATGAGCCGACAAACCTACGGGAATCGCATCTAATCGAATAAAACAAATGCCGTTTGACGTTCATTTTGATATTTATCTATTTAATTTCTTTACATTTACATAGATTTTTATGAAATTTATATTCACTTTGTTCTCTTGTCTGTTTTGAATTTGTTGTTGTTGTTTGTTTGCATTGCATTACTAAAATTTATAGACTATATTTTAAATTCAAATTGATTTCCTTTAAAAATTCATCATAGATCTATCATCTGCTCTGTATGTTATTTCCAGTGTTGTTGTTGTTGTTGTTGTTTTTTTTTTTATGTTCATTTGATTTTCTCTTCATCAAATTTACTTTGTCCCACATGTTCGCATATGATTTGAATTCCTCGTTTTCAGCATAACCCAATTAGTTTGCTTTTACCGTATACAATGCCAAATGATAAGTTTGGCGCCGTTAGATTTGCACATTTAAGAACATCGAATTTTGATTATTTATACGTATTTTTCAAAACTAGTCTATTTTTTTTTTTCTTGAAAGCTGATGAGTGTGTTTGTGTGAATTTGTGTTTGTGTGACGATCATAAAGGACCAAACACAACTAAACTCCACCGGAATCCTCGACAGCGAATGAATGTTTGCTCATCGAACGGTTTTGACAACGGCCGAATATTCTTATTATTCTAATTTTATATTTATGTTTCACTTCGGGCGATTGAACTTGTGTGCAATATCCGTTCGGCATAACAAACTTTCATCCGTCAATTCGGGCGTTCCATTTGAATTATGAGATTCTTAAATAAATTAATCACAATGATGATAAAAAATATAGCGAGCAGAACCATAAGTCGAATGAGAGTCTATCTAAATGTTAGTCACTTCAGAATCTCTAATCTATATATAATATACAAATATATTTACTGATTTCTTTGTTTGTTTTTTCTAATGACCTGTTCCATTAATTTCCTTTTTGATTTAAATTTAATTTTATTTCTATTTCATTTTGGGTCGTAGTCATGCGAACACTTTACATCATTGTCAAAGGACGCGCGCGTCACATAATAGCTTGTGCTTTGCGTCTGTGTGTTTTTCATTCTTTTTTGTTCTTAGATAATTTTCTTGTTTAATGAACATTTTTTGTCATTCATTTAATATGTATGTTTTCCTGTATGTGGTTGAATGAGTCGTGTGAAACGATGATGATACGAGGGAGAGTCTCATTTTTCGGGCCGACTGAATTTCGGTCGAAATTTTATTTTTGGTATTTGTTTACTCATTTGCTTTACCGTGTGTGTGTGTGTGTGTGTGTGTTTATGCTGCTGTTGTTGTGAAACTTTGCCAAAGACTTCGGAACGATGTGTAGCAAATAGAAAAAAAAAACACGCTGTCGATGAAGGGTTGTGCTGAAATCAATGCGCAAATGCGTTTATTTTTACCGTCTAATAAAATTAATCAATAATGACCTAAAAAAAAAAAAATTCCGAATGCTCTTTCCCGTTACGTAGAGAGTGTTTGGCGTGTGAAAATTAGAATATAAAAATTGATGTAACTCATTTCATTTCCCTATAAACTTAAATGGACGAAGCGGAAAAAAGATTATCGGCCAACCCATATAAGTTTCAATGGCAGCGGCGCACATGCGAAGACTGTTTGGTTTTTCCTATTTTAGTTTTGTGCGGCCATAGCGCCAAATCATAAAATAAAAGAATCCAACGAAAATACGATAAAAATCTTTGGCATGAAATTGCTCTACCGAGGTGTAATTGTTCACGATTTGCTACGTTACGAATTTTTATCCGCAAGACATATGTTCGCTATGCTACGTTTTGGATCGGTTCAAGCGGGAATCCTTTTTCCTATCCCTTTTCATATCAATTTCTGTCATTGAACTATGAACCCCGATCAAAAAACATGTTCGAAAAAAGAAAAACTCATTTAAAAAGTATAAAAAAGAAATTAGATTATGACTTAGGTTGAAACCCTGTTTAATTGACAGATAAACGGAACAAAAAAAACCTGAAAATTCGTATCTTCACATTATTCTATTATGTATTACGGAACGTATATTCATTTACAAATCCTTAATTGCGTTTCGAAATGCTTACTTTATCATCGTTTTATGATTGAATCATTTTTCGGAAAACTTTTCGGATGTGTTGCAATGCATTCTGTTTGTTAGATTGGTTGAAAAACTCGGGATTGCCTTTGGCCTTATTTGAAATTGTCTGGTACGAACTTTTCAAATAACATTCGTTTGCTGAGTAATAAATTGGAATTTTGGCAAAAGAAATTGGTTAAAACGAGGGAGAACGATCGAACAATATTAAAACTAGAGTTAAAACGTCGCAAAAAATCACTGTAAATGATTCGGAGAGTTGAGTGAATTTCCATGTTTTTTTTTTTTGTATGTGCAATTGATTTGTTTGTTTTTTATGCTCTCTTTGAGAAACATCATTTCCATCTTAAAAATAAAATCCTCAGCAGCCCATACGTGTGCAACTGCAAAATGTTACAATTTGTGATTCGTGCAATGACAATTCATTGCCAACATTGTGTCTGTATTTTGAATACGTCATAAGAATTACAATTACGTTTTACTTGCTTCATTTTTAAAGTATCTATCTTAAATGTATTAAAGTATTTAGTTTTCTCGTTCTCACTTCAACTCAAACTTTAACGATGAAAACAGTGGCGTTTCACAGAGGTTTTCAGCGAATTTTATCCACTATCACAAAATGAGAAAAATAAATGGAGTCAACAATCATTATAGCTTACGTATTTGTTCAAAAAAAAAAACAGTTTTCTATCATCTTTTTTATAGGTAAATGCATTGTTCAATTTATGAGTAAATTTCTCTATCTCTAGCAGTTCACTCTGGTCATGTGCACATTCAAAAGTGTTACACTCTAGCAACAATGTATTGAGTTTCATGCAGATGTTCAATTTTATTTTACATAAATTTTAATGGCTTACACGTAGTTTTTGTTTTGTCTTTTAATGTATCCGTAAAATAAATATTATATTTGTCCGAAAGTATTATTACGTTGGAAGGGTAAAATGATGCGCCATTTGTGGATGTGTGCTCATCAATCGATAGACAACTTTGGAGGTATTTCATTATTTTGATTTACATCATAATTTGTGAGTTCTTTTGTGTGTAAGTGAGTTATACTTTGTTTCTCTATGTACGTTTTACTAGACCTGTATGATGGTAGATGAGATGCACTTGATATTGTATCGAGCATGTTGTTGTTGTTGTTGCTCTTTTGGTTTACAGAAACCGTGTCTTATGTTATCGTTACAGTACACATTTTGCAAAATGTGCGGTTTGGCTCTTCGTCATTTTTTTTTTTTCATCTTTAAAAGTGAATCCATGTAGTGTGGTGAAATATAATCAAAGAGCCTCAAAGGCGAAATTACTTTTTTATTTTCAATGCGGGTCAAAATGTGCTGGGCTCTATGTATTCCTGGAAGCCAACAGAAACTTTTACAGTAATTATTCAAAAAGGGGTTTTGCTATTGAAAAGTGGAAATGAGAACTCGAGTTTTTGTGGCTTGATGTCAGTTGTGTGCGAATTTTCTCGCATGACGCGCTCTCTCTCTCTCTCTCTCTCTCTCTCTCTTCTGCTCGCTCACGCTGCTCCTTTCGTAGAATACGGACTTTATTGATTGGGTGTGAAGTTTTTCTGAGCTGAAATTGAAAGTGAGACTGTTTTCCATGGTGTATCAATCAAGTGTCATGCACAAAATGTTTTCGCATTAGATACCGCCCGAGTTGGTATCAAGCGAAATGTGATATTGTTGCCTTATGACCATGGTGTATGGTGTTTGCTCGCTTCAGCAGCATTGTAGCACTTATCAACTGTACCAAATCGACTGGCAGCTGTACGCTTCCGTTCCACAAACTGATGCTTATGTAGTATATTTCAATTTCAGACATGGGAGCATAACTTTCGGCCCATCGAAGTGCGGTTCATTCGGATGACTTTTCGGATGGTAGGAAGCATTTTCAATTTGTGCACTTTCTCATCTCGCTCTCTCTCTCTCTCTCTCTCTTTCTCTCTTTCTCTCGCACTCATGCAAACACACGCCTCGATTGGATTATACGCTTCACTCCGTTCACTAATTACACTTCTAAATATTCAACAGTCACTTGCCATTGCCCAATGCACTTGTCTTGTGCCTGCTACCATTATTTACATCGATAAATTACACGAAAAACAATTAATCCTTCACTTTTGCCTATAATTATCGACCAGAACATGCAATTTGCATAAATTACCAATACACGTGTGAGTGCCTGTGAGTATGTGTGATAACGGAAAGGAGAAGGATTTGATTTTTGTTGTTCTCACATAGTTTCTTCAGTTACTTGGGGCACGCTTGTGTCTATGAGAATAAATGGATATTGATCTGGAGTATAAGAGATGCTTTACGAACTTGATTAAATTCTACTCGTAAAATACTAAGTGTGATAAATCTCATCTGACCGTGGTGTGATTTTGGCAGGTTTTACTCAGTTAGTTATCTAAAATGAGAGTGTTTTTTTTTCTGGAGAAGGGCGGGCCGTTCAGAAATTCAATGCATTTTCGAATTATATTTATACGCTAACTCTTTGGTTGGTCACATATCAAACAAATATACACTAAAAAGATGTTCCTAACAATAATACACTGTTTTCATCATCATTTTTTTTTTGTTTTTCTTTGCTTAAGGAGATTCCGCGCAAAATATTTCTATGTTAAATATATATAATATACCATCGATTTCTGTTGTTAGTTTAAGCAGTTTTGTTTTTCTATTCGGTATCCTAAACAAATAAATTCTTTCATTCACATTTCATTTTGGTTTGTGGTAATTACATGAGCCACATTGCCCATTTGTCCAATGGGTTTTGTGTGCGTTATTTTTCTTCTTCTTTTTTGTTTGTTTGTTTGCTTTTCATGCTTTTCTTTCTCTTTGTGTTTTGGGTAGCTTGAGTTTGAAATTCACGTCTTACAAATAGCCTATTTACCCGTTAATATCGTTGTGCGGTCAAATCGCAGACACTTGCTCAATATCAGCGGATGATCTCGAATGGATGACATTTTTTGCCGCATAATCAGTTACATAGCGATCACTGTTACGCGGATGCACATTACCCAAGTCCTGTGAGCAGCACCATGAATTTTTCGTCGTTAAAATTCGTTTGAACGCCTCACGAAATTCCGTATTAAAAATGGAATAAATGATTGGATTGAATGCTGAATTTGAATAGCCCAGCCATGACAGTATTTTAAATGTTTGACCACCGATGCAGGTCTTACAGAATGCCGCAACAATGTTAACACAGAAAAATGGTACCCAGCATATAAGAAAAACGCCCATTATAACGCCAACTGTAATTGCTGCCTTGTGATCGGATACCTTGAAATGATTTAACCAAAATAAGCAATATTATACAATTATTTAGGAGTTATATTTTCTTAGGTCTGACTTTGATCGTTGGTTTAATAATGGAATAAAAAAAAAACTGTTCAAATAAAAAATGAGAATAAAATCATGCATTATTGAATTTAAGCGATTAAATCACTCGTTATTTACTATGAAGATTAGAAATGTTTTCAACTCACGTGATACGGTGATGAATGATGTAAATGGCGCACTTTAAACTTCTTTTTCGGTTTTCGACGAATGCTTCGGTATCGATTTGGTTGTTTTTCCACGACTTCACCGCTGACACCGGGCCGAGTCACGGCACGTATTGATTTCACATGCTTCTGTGCATAGCAGTACAATCTGTGAACGCAATTTGTTATGCACACAGCAACAGCCAAACAGCCGAAAGGATCAGCCATTTACACAAATGACATGTAATCGTGAGCGGAAAAGGGAGGGAAGGAGAGAGAGAGAGAAAAAAAGGAGAGACAAAAAATATACAGTAGAAAAGTGAGAAAAATTGCAAATATACAAAAAATGCGATTTACGCCATAGTCACAATAAAACATTGTTTCGACCGACTTTTGTTGTTGTTGATGTTGCTGCTGCCATCCAACTTAATAAAAGTGAAATGCGTTGTACGCAACGCGAAATAATATTTTATTCCACAAGAACAATATACATGCTGGAAGCGTGCGCTTTTTTGTGCATGTGTGTGTGTGTGTGTGCTTTTCATTCCGTTGATCGGGCCATAATGATAAAATATATGTTTGAAAACAGATTTGATGGTAAATTTGGACTCGTTTCGATTTGTGCGAATTCGGAAAGCAGGAGATGGAGCAAGAAAAAAAAAACGGAGGCACGTAATATATATCGTGTTGTATGGTTTATGCGTTCATCGGCTTAGTCAAACTAATGCTTGATAAGCCAGACGAAAAGATAAGTAGAAACCGGCGCCTCGTACAATTTTCGTCTTTTCATCATACATGAAGGGATTTAATCGGGGGTAGTGTTTGTATACTTTGTGACTAATTAAATCAGCCACACGAAATCCACCTTAAACCATTTTTTCCGATTCTATCAACGGGAATAAGATTACGGCTCGTACGTTCAAACCTTCGGCCAAACACACAGCGCACATGAACAAATAATGTAGTTTCGACGTGATTTTGTATCTTTGCACGTTAGCACATTAGCACATTTTCGACACATTTCACGTGAGTGTATTCATTCGTCTCCGTCCACTATTATCTTTGTACGATGTTAAGCCATTTCCCTTTTTGTGCACCTGATTGGATCACACATTATCATTTATTGCCGTCGTCTCAACAACGTACCAAAGTGGCTTCATATCGTTGGCACACACACACACACACACACACACACACACAGATATGTATAATGTATCGAGTAACAAGTGCTCCTAGATTGTGAAAGATGAGAAATGCGATGTTTTGTTTTCGGTTTTCGGGTGGGTGTCAAACACAGTCGCTTTCTCCATTCGCAACACATAAATAATAAATAACAACAAAAGAATGCGTGACAGTGTTGCGTTCAATTAACGCTTACATATGTATAAATTATTGTTGACAGTATAGAGAAAAAAAAAGCAGTGGAAGTGGTTTAAATTTGTCATCTCATTCCGATATGGATCACGCACCGCTCTTTCTCGTTCCGTTGTACCGCTTTTTTTCACCCTCGAATTTGCCGTATCAATGCAGAGAAAAAGCGCGCGGGCGGCCTATGTGTCACTATGTTATCCGCATATCGAAGCTTATTGTTATGACATACAGGCTTGATAATTCGAAAACATATGCTCGTGCCAAATAATAGTAATATCATATTTGCTCAACTAATTTCGATCGTTTGTTTACTTTACATTGTGCTCTGTGTGTGTGTGTGTGTGTGTGTGTTTGCTTGTGCCTTTTTTCATTGCCTATCCAATTTCTTCAAAATTGTGATGATGCTTTAATGCCTCACGCTATACAGGCTTTTGTTATACATCGGTATGCCGAAGACCGAACGTTAATCAACTATTTACACTCCTGAATCCTTGATGATTAATTAATATTTACATTGTGTTTGAGGAAAACTCCCTTTTTGTGTGTGTGTGTGTGCGTGCGTAGCGCCTCTTTTCTCCACATTGCCGATCAGATCGAAGGCATGAAAACGCTTTTTATTTGCACACCAGCCGAAGCAGATGTGATTAGGTGGGATTCATTGTTTTTAAAACGAAAAACCAACCCGCAATGGGAGAACGGGTGCTCAACCAAAATGCCAACACTTCCGAATGTGTTAGTTTTGCCGCATAACGAAAGAAATATTGTCGTCACTCTGTTACATGTTTGTTGCGCGTGGCACGAAGCGCCAATCCAAAATGAAATATGCATCATGGTTTTGGGAATTCGCTTCTTCGGTATACACGAGGGAGAGAAAGAGAAAACCGAAGATTCAATCGATTTTCCAAGCAATCGGCTCACCCACCATAAAGCGTACAAACTCTGAATGCTAATAAATGAAAATTGCTAAAAGATTTCCATTGATACGCTTATCACGAGATAATCGTTTATATTGTGCGTCTAATACGTGTTCCGGCGATTTTATCGCACTTAGAAGACAGCGGTCGCATGCATCTATTGTTGTACAAGGGCCAGCACTACACACAATCACGCTCTCGCTCACGAAAATGGGAAATTAGCTAACAGCTTTCGATGATACGAACCACTTCGTCGGAACAAATTTGCATTCAACCAATGTAATTTTGCAGCAAATTTGCTCCATCAAAATTGGATGCTCAAAATAAATTGGAAATGCTTAAGTTTAATAATTTACATTATGTTTGAGCTTAGATCACGTTGTGCGAAACGAGCATTTTCCGATTGTTTTAGCATAAAATGCGAGAACTGATTTGATTGCGCATTTTTCGGCTGATGTGCGTTGTGCACACACATAGACATACACCATCGCATTGAGTGTGTCTGAGGTTATTTTGGTTGGATGTTTTTCTGGCAGCAGCAAGTCGTCGTTGTTGTCGTCGAAGATGATTGTGAAGATAGTGGCGATAGAGACGATAATGATGTAATTTACCTGCAGTAGATGCCAATCATGACGATGCATGGGAAGTAGAAGCTAATACAACTTGACACCTGAAAATCATACACAAATTCTAGTTTGAGAATCTGATCATGTTATGGTTGATAGTGCATTTAACGATATTTTAATGAAAGTAAATAATATTACCACGGCGTATGTCGGTGTTAAATCTAAAGCACATGTTGGATACTTTCGACCATTGTCTTCATACACTAACGGTAGATCGGGCCTGTGCAAGCCAAACGAGATCGGCACGAATGATACTAATGCAGCTAATAACCAAATTGTCACAATTGATAAAACAGCTACGCGTCGCGTCACCCATCGTCCGTATCTAAATTTACACAAAAACGGAGAGAGAGAGAGAGAGAGAGAGAGAGAGAGAGAGAGAGAGAGAGAGAGAGAGAGAGAGAAATAACATTTTAGAAAACAATTCACATGGAATCTATTTTTATAATAATAATACGTTTTCGTTTGAGCATTTTTCATTCTGTTTTCTTTTCTAATACTGTCACAAAAAATTGGCGATGAGACTAAAAATCAAAGAAACGTTTGATACAAATTGAGAATTTCAGGCCTAAACTTGCTTCAGAAGAAAGTAAAAACACATAAGGGTGCGAGCAAAAGAGAAAGGGGGAGAGGCTTTTGCATTGACGTTGCCTGTTTGAAAAGAAGATTATTGGCAATAACTTGGAGCATAAAGCTTATTTACAAGAGATAAATAAACAAATGAACGCATCTTTCATATCTCGTTGTGTGTACTGTACACTCTACACTTAAAGCGAAACTTTTATCAGACTTTGTGCAGATTTTCTTAAGAAAAGCCCATTCACCGGGTAGAGAGAGAGAGAGAGAGAGAGAGAGAGAGAGAGACTCCTTGGTAAAGTCGTCATTTAAAATATTTTAGCATTTGCGACGCCTCATTTTCTCTTTCATTCACGTACACTCTGGCTCAAGAGTCTTTCATCTTCATTTTCTCCGAACGGTAACAAGCGCGATGTTTCATCGAGCGAGAATTCAGACACCAGAAAATATGTTGTCACTTTAAGCTTAACAATACAATGCAAACCAAGTGGGATATTTGAAAAATTGCGTAAGAAGCGTCGCATTTTTTTTCCCCATTCACACTCAATGGTACATTCCATGTACAAATTAAATCAAGCATTCATAAAATTCGAAAATTTCAAGTGTTTTATTTTCCATGGAAAAAGTTTTAATTAAATCTTCTTAGAGCTTTTTGCTAAAGTACTCGTACACAGGCCAAACCGTGAAATATGTATATAAATATCGCAAAGCCGAAAAGTGAATTTCATTTCCGACCCAATTCCGAAAATGGAAAATGATAATAAAATCGAGAACTGAATGCGAATGGAAATGAAAGGTTTTTTTTCCTCTCTTTTGCTTTGAATTATTTTGCTCGTTCGGTCGCTCGGTCGCTCGCTTTTTGTCGGTAATAATGTACGCATATAAAACGAAGAGCTCGTCCTAACTGAGTTTACCAACTATTTCCAACACGATTTGAGTATGTGTGGCTCGTCTACCTGTCCGTATTTTAGGCAATGCATGCTAGTGTTCGACAATAGCAACTTTCGGTCCAGCCGAAATGGATTTTCGAATGATTTGGCTTTTGTGTATTGTGGTTTTTGTGCGAGCGTCCAAAATGGGCACACAGAGAAGAAAATGGGAGGACGCAGAGAACATGGAAGTGATTGCATATCATTTTGTGGCTTTTACATGTACATATAACTCAACACGTACACCGTTACAATATCAATTCGTCACCTGAATAGTGTGTATATGTGTGAACGCACGAGGCCTTTTGCTCTGTCGACGCGCTTGAAACCCGTTATGAATGTGAATAATGTACTAATGGTAACTGACGTGAAAAAAAAAACAATTATTCCTGCCTATCGTTCTATTGCCAACGATGGCATTTGCGTGGAGTGTGTTTGTTCTCTGTGTGTCACATTGTTTCTGTTTGTTTCATATGGGAATCGGGTTATAGCATTGACGGGTACGCAACCAGCAAAATAACACAATTATTCACTTAAGCCGTCATCATTTTTACGTCAGCAATGATTGGATTGAGATTTGTGTAATTCGGCGAATGTGAGCGAAAGAGAGAGAGAGAGAGCGTTTTCTGTGGACTGATTGTGTGTTTGACTTTGAACGCAATTCCTAAAGCCGTCAGGCTAACGACATGTTGCAAATGAAATTAAATGAATGTGTTACATTTGTGGCTGGTGTTGTCATAGAAGCATCGAGCATCAGAGTAAATTTACCATTGTTTGTTACACATCGAGAATGTTCAACATGAGAATGTTCAATTTGTATGAACGAAAATGCCATCTCAATGCCTGCGCAATTGCATGTACATCGCACACGCTTAACTCTCAATGGCTTTTGATGTTGGAACGTTTCAAGATGTGGTATTCAAGTGTGTTTCATTGTAATAATGCATTTTACTGCACTTCCGTATGGTATATTCCATTCGCGATGCACTCAAGCGCTCGCCCTTTCCCGTGACCCGACGCCATCCGTTTGCAATGTGCTGCTCTGACTCTAAACATAAACTAATTGGCTTTCACAAGATGAATTCATACTCGATGTCAATTGCCATCATCATAATATTTTTCGTTGAATTGAAGTTTTGGTGAGATTTGAAATTTGGCATGTGGATGGCATTGAAAAACCAATTTTCCATGTTGGTGTTGATGATGATGATGATGACGACGACGTTGAAAACTCAATTTACAAGTTGTTAGAATGGGTTGCGTGACAGACACGGAGCGATGGTGCAAGGATCGCAATTTACAAATCGCCTCCAGTCAATAATTCATCTAAATTGCTAGCATGAACATCATATCATCAAAATGGGAAAGGAGCGAAAAAATAGCGTTTCGATATTTTTATAAGTAGAATTTCGTAAATGACGTAGGAAAGTGTGTGTATTTGGGTGTCGTTAGAAGAGCGCTCCCATCAGGCGCGCTCATTTAATGACTAAAGGCATTCAACGCTCATAATTCCGCAGGTAATTGAAGTGATTTATCGCATGGAATGGATGGTATTGTTGTAAGCGGTTTTGTTATGTTGCGTTGCGTTGAATTTATTAAATCATAGCGATAGCCTTGATAATGGTTTTGAAGTGTCTTCTATTCCAAATCGCGAGCTTTACACTTTTGGAATTTCCATTTTAAAAGCCTCTTTCGCATACACCTTCGCAACACTTTCCAACCGTATGTCAATTTAATTGATTCGTATGAATTATTGTTCTGCACCATTCAAAAACACACAAGCATCACGCTCCGCATATAAATAATGTCCTTCAGTTTTCACCGACTGGCAAAAACCAAAGAGAAGAAAAAATGATCCAGTCGCTTTGTTCTGTATGAGTAACCGAAAAAAAGGCACATTATTTATGTTGTTTGAGATAAAAGCTCGAAGATAATAAGATCTATCGCATTGTTTTGTTTGGTGCGGATGAGCACGCTATCGCCATGCAAAATTTCCGTTGGAATATTTAGCGATGGCACTACCAGCGATCATAATTTCGTGTAAATAAATTGCTTTCATTTCGTGCGCTATTTCTTTTTCTCTCGCTCTTGCTCGCACTGTCAGGCGCGTTTAGTGATTTTCTCGGGCGAACAAAAATTGCAAACGCAAAATGAATGGGCGAACGACGAATGGTGAATAGAATGGCGCCGTCAAAACGAGAGAGATAAAATCGTAATTGATAAATACATATTGAATGGAGTTCAAAGGTGAACAGACTTCGGCTACTTCTCATACTTCACTCTGTCACTATCTCTTTCTCTCTGTCGTGAGCAAAAACGTTGCGCACTACTTTTGCTGCCGTTTCAATCTATAAGTGGATGAAGTGAAGCAAAAAGAGAACACAATTTGGCTTAATCGTCTTTTAGGTAGACGAAGCATAATTAATTTTTTATCTCTTTCTTGAATAGAAATGCTATTGATGGAGCGCGCGCGTGCGAGTGCGCACAACCGAAGGCAATGAACAAGAAGTACAGCACAGCGATGGCAAAAACTATATTGCAAAACGGATATTTTATGAGAGCGTCAGTAGAAGAAAAACATCATGATAACATCATGTTTAAGCTGATTCCATATTTAATGAGAAAAAAAAGCTGTCAAATTACATTATGAATCGCTACGAATTCGAGTCCATGATGCATGCAACTTAAGCGAGTGAGCGAATGCGTGCATAGAAAAAAGTTTCGAAATTCAAAGTTTGCAAACGAGTAACAATGTCAAAGTAACAGAAGTGGAATCAAAATGACGAGGAACTTGAAGAATTTCGTGAGTGAGTGAGCTCTTCTCACTCACTGCGCACAGTTCACCGATGCTTGAGTATTTCTCTTTTTTCATTCTTCTAGTAGTTTTTGGGCAAAGAGTGACTAACGTCATTATTCACTTCCCATTCATTTTTTATGCGAAACAAGATTTATGTTAAACGGTTCTATGATTCGACTTTCGCCGTTATTATTTTGTGTGAGCGAAATGGTTTCGATGGGAAAAATTGTTGTTGCCGTTGTTGTTGGAAAAAAGTGCAGAGAGCGGAGTGCATTTTTGTGAAACATTCAATGGAAATTCGATTTTGAGAAGTTCATTGAAATCGAGCGATTCGACATTGTTCGGTGCTAATTCCGTTCGAGACGTGCCTAGCGACCGGATCATTCTTGCCTAAAGGCCAAATGCGTTCACATTTTCTGGTCGTTTTCTTCGTTGTTGTTGTTTGGCTTGTTTTTGGTTTTTTTTTTCTACTTTGGCCTCTTTTTCTTCTTCTTCGTCTGTTGCAGAAGTTTTCCCTTGTTTCTCCTCCTTCGCTTGATTGAACAATGGCTTTTGTCGGCGGTGTACTTTTGTTTAGATGCTATAAGTTTGTTGATGGTCAGAGAAATACCGTGAAATCTTACCTTAGCGGATCCTTTATGATGGCGTCAAAAAGAGAGAAAAAATTATAATTGATAAATACGTATATTAAATGGAGTTCAAAGCTGAAAATACTTCGGCTACATCCCATACCTTTATATGTATGTACCTATCCAAAGAAATCGCACATAGGTTCAGGATCGAAGCCGTTGAACACATTACATCGAAAGCTACCCAAGTGTCGCAAAATTGCGCGCCGAATACCCAATAGCCTAAAGAATACGAAAAACGAGAGAATAAGAATAGCATCAAGCAAAAGAATGGAGAGAGAAAAAAAGCATACACAATGAAACATGAGAAAAGGAACGACATTAAACCAAAACAGACACATTTTTCAATGGTCTGCATATTTGGCGAACGACGACGACGACGACGACGACGACGACGACAACAGCAACAGTAACAACACACGAGAGAGCGAGAGAGAGAGAGCGAGAGAGAAAGGGACAAAATCGTTTTCAAGTGAAAAAGTAACCCGTTGTTTACACGATAGATGATACCGTATGCATGGGCTACACGAAGACGGCGTTGATGTTCTGAAAAGGGGACCTTCTGATTTATACAAGTCATAATTTTTGGCATACCAAAATAAAGTTTTCATACTTTGCGTCCTTGTTTATTATTATTATTTATTATGTGGCATTCTTTTTGCAACTCGTATAGAAGAAGAAGAAGCAAGAAAAAAAAACCTCGCTTTATTTTTTCTTTCCATTCGGCTTCATTTTGTGGCGAATTTAACGATGTAAAAAGGTAGAAAAGCACGAAATTGAAAACTGAAGAAAGAAAGAACGCAGAAAAAAGAACACACCCTGTCTTAGTTGTCGTGGAGTGGATGCAGGATTGTAAATAGAAAGATGAAACGGAAATATGTTTTGAAAATTAAATGGCAGAAAAAAAGCTTGATAGCATCTCAAGTGGAAAAAGTTGTATGTAAATTGAGAGCGACCTTACGTTCCGTGCGTTGAAACGAACGAATTGCGATAAATGAAGCAGAATGAGAGAGAGGGTTGGAGGAAAAGTGAGTGAATGAAACACGGCCCACTTTCAACTTTTGAGCACTCACGACTGCAACTTTCATAATTCGTTCCGGACAAATTGGAATTGGACAGCTCAAATGAACGGAACGATATGCAAAAACGGGAAATTCATTCAAACAGATATCTCTCTCTCTCTCTCTCTCTCTCTCTCTCTCTCTCTCTCTCTCTCGAAAATGGTGAGAGATGATGCCAAAGCGCTTGCATATCAACACGCGATACTATTATGGAAATGAAATGCAAAACTATTTTGAAAGTTATTTACTTTACCCCGAAATTATGTGTGATACTGTCATAAACTAACAGCTAAAATGAAATTCATTCCATGCACCAAATGCGAACGAATGCAAAACAAATTCCGTTGCGTTTAAATGGATACGGGGTTTTCATATTTTATGCGAAACATTTTCTCTGCAATAAATATTATATACACATTTTACTTATTCCATCAAATTGAGAGCTCTATTTTACGATGAAATTATTATATCGCATTTCAGTGAGCATTTCAGTCCGGCTGTTTTTCCCTTTGAAGGTGGAAATAATGACAATTTTATTATGAAAGCCTAACGAGAGTGCTCGTGTGTTTTGTACTTGTGTGAATAAATCCATTTATATTCGATTGGTTCGTTCGTTCGTTCGTTCGTTCATTCGGTCGGTCGGTCGTTCAATCGAGCCGTACACACAAATGAATAGTAACTAAACTGATACAGCACATTACACATATAGCAGAGAATGTATCAAGTGCATCAATTGACTGCAACAATTGGATTGTGTGTATCATTATTGTTGGTCGGCAGTAAAGCGATAGCTTCATTTCTGAAGTGATATTGGTTTAAAGTGTTTATTGTATGGGTTTCGTATAAATCATACAAAACTTGTCACAACTGACACAATTTAATCAATGCCAATTTAGCGCGATTTGCGCATAATTTATGAAATGTGATGTGGCTTTGACTATATTGTCAGATCCCTCAACGCGTATACACAGAGATAGAGACACACGCACACTGCACAGTCATAACAATTGAATCAGTGTGGCGTTGCTAACGTGTGCCAGTCACATTCAATGCACGAACATACAGCTTTAACGCCGTTTAGAGTGATTCGAAAATGTAGCCAGTTTATTGCTATAAATAGAATGATAACGGCCAATTCAGTGTACAAGCACTAATACTTGTTGTTCTCTTTGCGCTATGAAAAATAACGTCAACAGAATAATTCAGAGACGCGCCGAAATGGCATCGTCAATTATCTAATCAGATGAAATTGAAATGTAATGGACCGACGACTTATAGCCAAATTCAGTGTGCCATGAATCATAACCATAATTTGCATCATTTGCTATTTCACCTGAAATCAAATAAATATCATTTGTTTGCATACTGCCAACGATATTTTACTGTGTCTACATTTGATTTATCGTCAAATATTTATGTAGCAGAACTAAGCCGAAATAAATGGAACGGCACTAGAACAAGAGATGAAGAGAAATGGAGAAGCAAAGAGAGCCGCACGTATTCCATCTACAAACAGTTTCAATTTGCGAATAGTTTCGGTCCTTTGTCTGGACTGAGAAATCTCTTTAAACACGGCGAATGACATTTCCGAGCTCCGACAACGATTTTGATCGAAAAATGTTTTCATTTTCGATTGGTAAATGTTACTTTGCGAAAGTAACAACCAAGCATTCAACGATAAACAAACAATCGGAACACATTTGATAATGTTCTTTAACTCGTTTTTTTTTTTCATTCCAATTTTTAGTGAGATCGAAAGGAAAATATTTTGATTCTTGCATTTGGATTCGTAAGCTGGAAGGGTATACATTTTGATGATTACCATCAATGTGGTACAGATGAACATTTCGACTAACATGTGTTATCTAACATCGCCCGAAGAACATGTTCGACATGTGAAGAAAATACAAACATTGTTCTTATTCAACAAACTCAAGTTTCTATCCCATGTCAATGGCATTATACATCATTCAATATTTATACCTTGAACGTTCGAAAACTTACTCGCAAGAAATTTTTAATGACAATTTTTCATTTTTTAATATTCGAAATTGGAATGAAAAGCAAAATAAACAACGGATTTTTACGGTTCATTCAATTTCATTTGCACAAATGCGTGGGTCTTTCAAATTGAATGGCTGTTTGTATTGTTAATGATTGCTATAGAATTTTCTGTGTCGTGGAGATTCTTCTCTTTAGGAAATTAAAGAAGGAAAAAAAAGCACTGCGCAGATATTTACTTTGGCTTTGGTGTAACAAAGCGTGAAAATGGCATGAATTTACGTTTGAACATGAATCTATCCAGACAAAGACACAATCTCACCATTCGCCGGAAGAAATTCTTGGTGCATAGATGGTGCTGGAAAAAAAATATGAACAATGCCAACTGCATCATTTGGCAAACGGAAGCGAAAAAAAACAATCATCTCAAGAAATATTTTGAAATCCGTTGGAATTGAATGGGACAAACCAGTGAAAGGAAGAGGTCAGAGCTGGAAAAAACACTCTGTGTGTGCGCGCACGTAACTAAGAACGCACTCACAGTAGATGTGCGGCGCACACACAGAGTGTTTTTTCCAGCTCTGGAAGAGGTTCATGCGACAAACGAACTGAATTTGATGTTTCGTAGACAAACAAAAAGCATTTGGCGTAAGTTGATGGGAGACAAATCTATGGGTGAGTTTGAGAAGAGGATATGTTTGACTGGATTTGTCTTGTAGTGTTAAGACACGGCTTTCAATTTTCGGGTAGACGCCAATGTGTTCAGCATTGTCTTCTAAACATAAAATAAACAACAATTGAAACATACAAACCCTCCTATTCACTAAATCAGGCGGAAAAAATATACTCTCTTCCCAATCTCAGCCATAGGAATTTGATAACACAAAGTGAATTGCTGTTGAAATCCACACAGGCATCGCTGCTTCTCCCTCCCTTGCTCTACCTCCCGAGGATGTGTGTTGTGTTTCAAGTAAAATGCCATTTTCCCAAGTAAAATTGTTTCAATTTGAGGCAACTTGTGTGGAAAATTCAACCAAATAATGCGTTTGTAAACAGTTTGTTGCATGAGTTGCAGTAAACCATTGTAAGCTACTGTTGCCATGTGCAGTGCTTTTCAATTTCAAGTCAAAAATACATGTTCTTTCATTCCATCGGCATTACGAAATTGAACAATTCCAAAGTTATTTCAACTGAATGTTGAATTTAAAAGCTCACGATTGCAAGTATTCAGAGATGATTAAGTAGGGGGAGGTTTTTGTGAGTGCATTGTGGATGCAAACGGTGGAAACGTTTTTCGGCGCTGTTAACAGTGGTGGATAAATGAAGTTGAATTTGTAATGCAATTGTTAAATGCGAGTCTTTTGAATAAATGCTAAATGTAAGGATGCTTTATTTAAACTTTGGTGTATCGCAACATTTATGCAATTATAAACTATTAAAACATTGAGTGAATTCCATTTATTTGCGCATATTTCATTGTAAACAAAACGATTTCACTTGAAAAATTTACTTTGACACAGTGAAAATGGGTTGGAAACAACTAATATTGATGGTACTTTTGGTAGAAATCTAAAGAGACTTTAGTTTCAATTTTTTTTCTAGTCACTAACATTGTTTACTGTAAAATTCTATTTCACAGCGAAAGTGGTTTACATTCATCATGGGAACATGGGGCAAGTACGCATAAAATGGCGTTGAATATTTGTACGAATGAAAATATGCGCATTTTTCGGTATGTTTAAAAGCGAAAAGCAAATCTACATTGGAATTCATACGATGGATAGTAAAACGAAAGTTTATATAGTCGAGTGGTGCTTTGCAACAGTTAAATTTGCGAAATATTCTGTTTTGCATTACAATGCATCACGAAAATACTGTTAATCTATGGTGGAATTTTGATCTCGAAAATATGATTTATCATTGTAACCACAGGCAAAACTTTAATGATGACACACACAAACGCCGTCATCTACATATTTCATTGGCTGTGAGTCGGCCTTTTCTTCAAATATGAAATTATAGACATTTTCTATCTCTTTGCCTACGAGTTTTGCATCATTTTCATTTCGGTCTGATTGTGAAATGTTGAATTTAAAGCACATTTGTTTGGCGTAGTACGTGTTCGTCGGCGAACAACATAACGACGAGTTTTGTGTCAGCGAATGTTGCAAATGTTGTGTGTGTGGCATTTGCGAAACAAAAACACCACGCGAAGACAGAAAAGAAGTTGAGACTTGTTAAGACATGTACAAATGCAGCGGAATCAACGAAGATGATGAGTAAAAAGCAGAAGAAGAAGAGGGGAGAGAAAAAACTTGTTTGTTTCCATTAAGTATTCCGTACAAGTTTTCGGAGAATGTTTTAAATTCGCCTGATAATGGCATTTTTGAAGCCAGCATTTTCTTTCACTCTCTCTCTCTTTCTCTCTCTCTCTCTCTCTCTCTCTCTCCCCGATATTCTGTTGCACTGCGTGTGTACATTTCAGAAGCACGAGCTGGAGTCTGATTACAGGGATATTATAATTTGCACAAACTTTTCCAACTTTATAATAGCACTTGAAAGTATCAACTCCAATGCACTTGAGCATTGCAATGGAAAAACTTGCACACAGCTGATGTGTTTTGCACGAAGTTCATTTTTTCTCCATTTTCATCTATCCAGACAGGGAGAGATGGGCGGTAGAAAGCGAGTCTTGCACTATGGAGTCACTTTGCCACATATATTGACAGTTCGAATCGCTTGATTGACAAGAGCTCGTTAGGTTTTTAGCTCATTTACATTTGCGAAGTGCCTTGTTACAAAACCACCCAGCGAATATGAGAGGGATGTTTTCCGTTTGCGTACTCTCTCGTTCTCTTTCACTCTCTCGCGTGCGCAACAATTCGAAAGTAAATCAAACTTGCCAAACACAAACATCGAATAAATTAAAATGGAAATAGTTCAAGCGTGAATGGCATCATTTTGAATCGAACGCGATTCATTCAAACGCGCTCCGAACAATCAGCCCTACAGCTGCGCTCTCTCTCTCTCTCTCTCCAATTCCCTCTTTCTCCTTCACTTGGAGAAAATTCATACGCGAAAATCATCTAAAAATAATTGATACTTGCGAAATTGGTTTTTCAATTTGCATCAAAACATCGTCATTGAGTTGTAACACTCACTCACTCACTCGTTGTCGTCGTCGCCGTCGTCGCCGTCGTCGCCGTCGTCGCCGTCGTCGTCAGTGATTGGTGAAATGGTATTTATTGATTGCGCGAAATGCGGCAAAATCATTTTGTGCTTGTATTGATACATACCCAGTAAATCGTTAACTCCAGCAAACGTCATCACAAGGGACGCCACAAACAAATCCGCAATGGCAAGTGATGCTAAAAATAAGTTTCCAATTCGACGTAAACTTCGTTCGGTGTATATAGCTAAGCATACTAAAATATTTCCTGCTATGGATAAAAATATTAAAAGAGACAGAAACACGCCTGCAACGAAAGAAAAACAACATGAATTTAGCACGGAGGGAATGTTAGAACAAAAAATGCTTTGTAATTTGCAACAGAATAGCTAATTTTTCAAAGAATTAACATTGTTCACAATGCACTATTCTCTTTCATTCTATCCACTTTTCACACACACAAACATAAACAAAAACCCATTCACACTCCGCAACACTTGGAGTGTTTAACGAAAATTTAATGCAATTTTCAAATTAGCACTTGAAGCAAAGAGGCGGAAACTCAATTAAAATTGCCCACCTCAATCGATAAATTTTTAATTAGGTTTTATTGATTGCGACCAATCGCTCTTGCTGGCAGAACCATCGTTGTCGGCGTCGTGCAAGTGCATCGATTAAAAAAGGGCAATCAATGCGGTTTCATAAAACGCAACAATTTATAACTGAATCGAAACAATTAATTAATATCGTTCAGCGGACTGAACAATCGAAAAATATGATGGAATCCACTTTTGATATATTGCGGAGCGCTTCAAGTGTAAATTACACCCAGCGTAATTGTTTGAATGCATGGCAGCTATTACAATTCGCAAAGTGATTGAAACTGAATGTCCTGTTCGTTCTGTAGGTGTTTGCGTGAGTTGTGATTCATTCGAAACTGATTTTAATAAGGATTTCCGGCAGTTGTTGCGCTTGATTGTTTGCACATTCTGTGCCAATAAAAAGGCGCAATGAATGCCTTTGTGCGTTGCTCACAAAGAATTGACATTGCAAATTGAATCAAACATCGAAACTTCAGCCCAAGTCACTTTCCACGTCGTACAATCATTCACTCAATCACATACTCCGTCAGTCACTCAAAGAAACACACAAAAGTTGTCGACCGTTCATTCCATTTCAATTTGGAAATAATTAAATGTCTTCTCACAATTGAATACGTTAGTGCTGTGTCGGCAAAAAACTCGAAAGACAGTCATTAAATTGGATTTCAGTGTGCACGCTCGTTGCCGTCGCCGTCGTCCTTCTCCTCGTCGTCAGTCGCCGCCTGCTGCAGTCAATATACAACTGTAACTGATTGAAACCAGGTGTGTTTCGTCGGGCAAAATAACATTCATTAAAATATTCAATTGGTAAATATTTATCCAGTCGTAGGGTAATGATAGTCATTGACTCGCACATTTTAATTAAATCTCCAGAATGCGCATTCAACAGCAAGCGATTAGACACACAACATATACAACACATTTCAAGCAACGCCATTCATTCGCACACCATATTCCATTAACTTTCACCCATCGCATTCTTTTCATGCAGTGACGATTACGGCAACGACGATGACGACGACGGCAGCAACAGCAAATAGCGACAGTCTTTTGACTACGAAACGCCAAGACAATTTTCCAAAGAAATGCGAAACATGGACGAAAGTGCTTGTTCATGGTAGCGAGCGTATTATATTGTACGCCCGCGATATCGCCTCAAACAAATTACAGAAAAACCTGTCTCGAATCCTTCAAACTCATTTATTTGATAAATTATACGCAAATAACTTAACTTGCGATTTAATACACTCAAATTCACACTGGAAAACAAGACAGAGGAAAAACATCGAAGAAAAACACGAAATCGTGCACAAAAGATAAACAATCAACGACACAAATCCAAGGTAAGCACAGTCAAATCTTCCATCCAACGTCGAAATCAGCAAAAGGCGAGCAAAACACACACACACACACACACTCACTCACGAGAACAGCAACAGGGGAAGAACGAAAAAAAACATGAAGAGAGAAGAAATAAACAAGGACTGAAAAACATGGTATTTTTAATCCAACTCCTTCAGTTGCAGCTAAAACGTTCGGATTTTGAACCAGTTCCAGCAATCCGAACAAAATCTTCGAGTATACACCCAGGTATTTAGCCAACAGAGCTAGAGAAAATGAGTTTACATAAATGACAACAACAAAAACAACGATGGGTTGAACTACGAACTCAAAATGGTTTGTCGCAAACCCAAAAAATACAAACAAATCTAACACTTATTCGCCTGTTGGATATGTGTAACAAAATGTACGTAATTTAATTTTCTGGTTGGTAACATTTTTTAATTTAATTGGATGAAGATTTGCATTTTGTTTGTTGAAAACATACACCGACACACACACACACACACAGACCATCTGCCGTAGCCCTGCTTCCAGGCGATTCACATTCGTATCTTTGTATTTGGGTTCGACGGTTTTGTGCTTTGGTCATTCAGTGGAATGGTTTTGTTTTGACTGTATCAATGCTTTTTCGTCCATGAATTTAACGACATTTACATTTCAAACGGATCTTTTAAATATTTAATTAAAGCAAGGGGGATTTTCGCATTGGGAAAACACTGTTCCAAATCTCCAAATACGGTGCGCATCGCAAACACTTTTTCGCCTAAGCACTACTTATGCAGTGTTTAAATCGACATACCATCAAAGTGGAAGACTCGTCGATGGGAGAATAAAAAAAAAAATCTGTATATATTCGACATGGAACGCATCAGCCGACGACGAAAGAGCTAAGTGGAAAATTGCCATTGGCACTAAACATTTGGTTACGAAAGCTCTTAACATCCCAATGTGGAATTTGGTTTTCTCATTTGATTTTCACTCTCTCTCTCTCTCTCCTCCTCTCGGATGGATTATCGCTCACAACAACAATTGTTTGGGAAACAGTAAGATGTTGATTTGATTATAGGTTAAAATTACCATAAGCGGAGAAAGAAAAATAATGGCAGCAAAGCTTGAGCTCAAATAAATAAATAAATAGAGTCTAACAAAACAACCGAAAAAATAAATAAATGCTTAAATCGAGTTCGTGCAACTCAAACACCAAATTGGAAAAAAAATCAGAGAAAAGTTTCGTGATTTATCCCCTGTTCAATCAAAACTTCGTTCCAAATCGTGTTTTATTTCGAATCTAACATTTGGGGTATTGTGCCTTTTGTTGAAAATTGAAATTCATGTCCAAAGCAATTTCGATTGTGTGCTCTGCTAGTTTCGAGGAATGCAAAGGCTGCCTTTTTTGTTGTGTGCTAAGACGCAAAGCAGGCGGGAAAGTGTGAAATGAAAATAAATATTTTGCAAGAGACAAAGTTTAACAACATGTGCATATGTCTTGAGTCATGTCGACTTTTCCTTTTTTGCGATGTGGTGCTTTCCTGAAAATATTGATTCTTTGACTCGGAAAAATGTGTTTCGCACAAGGGGCGACCGGATTTGTTTGTTACGTGTTAGGCGCCCTGTTTTTCATCTCTGCTGCACACTCAAATTACAATTTAACATGTTTGGGAAGTGTGATAAAAGTTGAACGCGTTTCGGTACGATTCCCCTTGGTTTCGTGTCGAAACTAGTTAAACAATCTGTGCAGTTGTGCTCATGTTCTTTGGCCGTGTTGATTATGTGCCACAACATCGAAAAGTTGACGGAAATATCAAGTTCCGTTTTTCAATATTATATGAATAATTTGCGTGTGTTCATGAACGTTGAACGGAATACATCAAAAGCTCGAATAGGTTAACTCATTCGGGTGCTCCGTTCTCGAATAACATTCATTTTCTGTTGTTCCATGTCGAATTAAAAAAAGAAGGAGGAAAAAACAGCATCATATTAATGTTACAAAAATATTTCGAATACAATTCCGTACGACCTTGTTGGAAAAATGCTAACGACACAGGCTGTGATGACATCTCTCCTTCTCTCTCTCTCTCTCTCTCTCTCTCTCTCTCTCTCTCTCTCTCTCTCTCTCTCTCTCTCTCTCTCTCTCTCTTGCTCTCGCTCTGAATGGGGCCGATTGTCGCATTTCCGATTCGCCTTCTTCGACCCCACTTCCTCTTGCCATTTAAAAGATGCCATCAAATGCGTAGTGAATCATTGAAGATAGAACGAGTGCACATCGAACGAAGCAGGGAAGTAATGGCAAAACGATAAAATTCATAATCGACGATAATTTAGATCGAGGAAATCGATTTGTGTGTAAAACAGTTTTAGTCTGACATCAATCTTCAGAGCCATCATAATTGATTTATTAAATTTGTAATAACCGTGTTATACGCTCGAGCCTCATTTCGTAAATAGATCCTTAGCTGCGATATATACCATTGAGGAATTAAGAAATAATTAGCGTTCAAGTTTCAGAAGGCAGAGCAACGACAACCGAATGCCACTTCAATCGGTATGCCATCGTCTCTCGTTCAAACGGTGTTGTACACATTCAATTCGTGTGTATCGACTGTAAATGGGTGGGTGGGTGTGTGTGTGTGTGTGTGTGAGACAAAAACACATGAAAAGATGAGATACAAAGCGAGAGAGTGGGAAAAAGCGAACATAAATAAGATGTACGATGTTGAAATGGCATACACAGTGTCATCGCTGTCGTAGTCGGTTCGTACCAAAATCACCTAGACTCGAAGCGAAATGGCTGAATGGCAGTGAAAGAGATTAATATTGATTTATTGAAAAAGATTTCGAATCATTTGCCTCGTCTCATTCGTATTTAATAAAATAGACAACGGCATCGTTGTCATTGTGGAAAAAGCACAACAACTGAATAAAAAACACACACACACACACACTCCAACGTCCTCATCACAATTTATTTCTACTTCTTCCTATTCAGGATTTGCTTCCGATTCGTTATTTTGTTATGCTCGTGATCGTCGTCATCGTCGTCGTTGTTGTTGTAATCGTCCTGTTGCGGAATATTCTCTCTACCTAGCGTACGCACTCACACTCACCCACAACATTCGCTCATGTTCGCATTTCACTATATATGTGTGTTTGCTTTCTAACGATTTTAATCCGCTTCTATAACAAAATAAAAAAACACACACACATAAACCCAACGACAAAGTGAAGCGAGCGTGTGCCATCCACAAGGAAATAAAAAATCAATACGTATTCATTCTCGCTGAACATTTTGGATACAATGCTTGCAAAACACGGGACTACATCTGAATATATATGTTATTACCGATTGATACTACTGATAGAAGTGTCAAAGCATCTGGATCGTCCTCTAATACTGTCGATTTGTGCCGCGTTGAATTGTAACTGGTTCGTATCTGCAACGATGTGGTTGTTGGTGTTTTCGTTGTTGTTGTTGTTGTTGACGATCGGCAGCGCAGGAAAAATGAGCATGGAAAAAAGGAGAAACAAACAGAGAGAAAGATAGATGAGAAAAAAAATTGTTATGGCTATGAAATAGGAATTCTTTTATTAACAAATCCAAAATGAGATTCGCACATGTGTGAATTTATCATCGAAATTGGTATTTCTACAATCTTGCTGTTCAGTTACTGCTGCTGTCGCACTGTTGCTGATGTCATTTGGACTGCTGTCGATGCGATTGCAAATGGTCGAATTTTATTTGGTACGTGTGTGTGTGTGTGTGTGTTGGCTATTTGGTCGACTGTGATTCTGTGTTTGTTTCTTTGTCGCCAGCATGTATAAATGTTGTGATGCTCTCCATGGCTCCTCCGTTCGATATTCATTCATCGAACAAGCAAACGAACGAACCAACGAATGAACGAACATCGAATTCAACAGATGGTGTCAATGTTAAGTGGCAAGGAGTTAAGCTCATTTGCAAGTGTGTTCGGGGCGTTTTTTGTATTCGTCACTTGATGCATGACAATCATTTCATTCGCAATTCTAATCCCATTGTTTTGGAGCGTTATTCCTTCTCCACTCCACAATCACCGTCATCGTCATCTTTATTGTTCGCCCTGTTGTTTTGTTCTTTTCGTTAGTGTTCGCTTTTTATCGCTAGCGATAAACACAGCACCATTCTCTCGCGAGCTCGCGCACGCGATTCGAAATCAAACACACGGTCTAAACACACATAGGGGGAGAGAGCGCGAGCGAGAGTTTGAGCATGCTGAAGCAATCAACCAATACCGCATAGCCACGGTTCAATACATCACAACAAAACATTATTTATAATCTATCTATAAAATCCTTAACAATCTGTAATATCTGCCGCACAAGAACTCATCGCCCCGAATTCAATAGAATTCCCACCATAATGAATGAGCTTTTGAAACAACAATGTGTACAAATAGAGGCAAAATGAAAAGAATATGTGCGATGGTTACTTGATTATACGCACATTGGCTCTGCCGAATCCCGAAAAGCACGTAATCGAAGCGAACAATTTATTGCCAACTTTTGGCTCGGCTAAACATTCCGATATACTAGAGATTGAGAGATACACAGATGGATTGGACCGAACGCATAGGAAGGAATTTGACGAAGGATGGGGGTACGGAATAAAGAAACATCTCCATGGTGTTGACAAAATACATTGAAAATGATTGTGAAAAGCGAAGGATAAGCATTTTTTTTTTTGTTTCGTTGATATTTTTCATTGGTAAAGGATGACACAGGAATGCGAAGCACGCAGTAAGCGACGGAACGAAAGAAATTTGCTATTATTTTATTTGTGTGCACGCTCAACGATGCGTGAGACAATGATCAAACTCGTCTACTGGAACCGACACTCTGCTTAACCTATTTAGGTCACGAAACATATCACACGCTGTGTGACTGAAAAATGCACGAAACAAATAGTTTTGCTCGTGGAAATTTAGGTTGTTGTTGGTGCTGGTGTTTAAGTTTGGCGTGTCTTAGGTAAAATGATAGCAGCGCGACAATAAGACCATGGTTGACTCGAATGCTCGCTCGATACCAAACAAATTTGTATTGAACTTGTTTTTTTTTCTATTTGGATGTTTTTATCTCTCTGCTCCTCTCTCTTTTTCTCTCGCAATCAATTTCGTTCTTTGTTTTTACTGGTTTCATTTTTCAAAGAAATTTATATATTTTGCCATGCACACAGTGTTGCTTGAAAGATGCGCAAGCATGGGGTTCACCTTAAGCAGACCCATATTTTTTCATCAACACTTCACATCTACAAAGCGTGTGACTATTTCGCAGAAACCACCCACCCACCATACGATGCAAAGAACGAGTGGAACAGAAGCACAGAATACGGAATCGATATAAATTCTCCTTTGTTACTGTCAATGAATTTTTTTTTTTTTTAATATAGCTGCTGGTCGACATTGTTGTTGGAAATCGTGTTGTTTGCAATGTTTCGTATGTGCATGGATGTGTGTGTGTGTGTGTGTGTGTGTGGATGTGTGCCCTTTTTTCGGAGTTCTAATACTATTCTGTTCCATGAGCATAGATAAAAGAATTTTTGAGTAGCTATAAGCCATACCTATAAGCCGTTCGGATGCCGTGAGCAGTGGTGACGTCAAGTAAGTGGAATTTTGAGAACTAAGAAAGTTCTTATATACCTTCTCATCGCCACATTCAATCAGGCGGTTGGGAATGGAGAAAGACAAAAAAAGAGAAAAAACTATACGCGCGACCTTCGTTAGTTGTGCATAAGTTTATCGCCATTTGGATTTTATGCTCACTTCTTTTCCTCTCTTTTTAAATAGAAATGAATGGGATTTGTCTAATTTTGTCATTTGCACGCATATTCCAGTATATATACTTGTATATCCAACACACAAATCTACCTAGCCTACGAAAGGCTTTGTATGTTGTGTACTTTTTGTATACGAATTTTTTTTTACTTTCTGTTCTGTGTGTATCTCGCTCTCCGCATGTATTGCTATACTGAAAACGCCAGAGGTCTCGCATTCAATTCCATTTTCGTTGTGTACATGCAAATTTCTTATAACGTCATAAGTTATTTACTTTTAATATGAATTTTGATTGGATTTGTTTGCCAGGTGACGCTCACAGTCCAATTGCAGCAAATACCCCACAATAAGTAGTTTTATTTCGAGCATTATTTTGATTATACGGGTGTGCTTCCGAAATCGTCGTCGACGTCGTTGGATATCAAACATCAACAGAAAGAATGGTAAACAATTTTCTGAGTTGCCCCGAAGGGATCAGATGTAGAACAGTTTAGTGTGTTACCTCATCGTGCGAGAAGACACATATCGACAACAAGCGACGAAAGCATAAAAATAATATCAAATTCAATTTTTATATCAACAACATGAAACTGAATTACGTTGGATTTTAAGCCCGATGTTACACACATGTGCCACAATACCGATGTAAATGCTATCTCACTTATGGTGGCATTGCACCGCAACCAGTACACAACAACAAAACCTTGAGCCCAGAGAGTGGTGCAAACACACAACAAAAATGTGTTTACATCTATCCCCCAGCTTCAATTTCCCGTGCATATTGCAATGGTGTACCTCATGAAAATTTCATATTTGGCACTTTTTTCTCTGGCTTTCATTTGTATGAAAAATAAATCGTGACCAACAAAATTATTCTCCATAACTTGATTCAGGTGTTACACATTTAAAGTGAACGATATTTATTTTTTTTTCTCCTCATTTTCAGCTGCAGATGCAAATAAAAAGTGCTTCAATAAAAGATTAACTACGTTATGATTGGAAAGCGAATTAATTGAATGATCTGTTCTATCAACTCGGCTGCGTTTATTTTCATGTCTTCATTTCCATTCCATTTACTATTTTTAATGATGTTTGGAAAATATAAATTTATTTGCGCAAAAAATTCAGCTGTGTGTATGCTAAAAAAAACAGGTTTTATTCGCATACGCCGATTTTTCGTCCATAATTAAATGAGCAAATTAATCTCCTCTTCCGCTCTACACGATAAATTGATATTAATTGATGTTTTCATTAATGCATTTACCAAAAAAAAAAGACAACAACGATAAAAACATGAGTTGGCCAAAATCAAATTACCATTCCATTTAATTTCATGGCACTTTTATTTATAACCTTTTGATGTAATTAATATTCATATTCATAGTATTCGAAATCCATTGTTTAAGCTGTCGTTGATGCATCATCAGGGATTTGATTATCGTGACTTTTTTTCGCGCAGTCACAACAAAAAACAGTTCCGAGTTTCATCGGCAAATGTCTCTCTTTCTTCATCACTGGATTCAATTTTCTACTGCATAAAAACTATCTGCATAAAAATAATAAACGTTCCATTCAAATGGAAATGTTTGTATGTGAGAGAATCAAACATCATGAAAAGAATATATAAATTTATATGCGCTCGGGTATTTTTTTGCCATTATATAACTTTTTTTTTTCTCGTGGATTTTTTTTTTTAAAAACGTTACTTTTTTTTCCTATGAGGCCGCTTCACTTGAAAAAGGTGCCACAAATTTGAGGTGAAAATTGCACCAAACTCGGGGTTTTTCCCTCCACAGAAAAGGTGGTTCGCTTGTGTGTGTTCGGGCTGCTTTTTACGTCATGTAAACATCAAATCAAATCATAATGCGAAAATTGAACATGTGATGAAAATCAGGTCAAAGTAAGAGTTTGTTTGAAGCACGAAACAAAGCCAAGCATTCTCGTTTAACACCAACATGTTGGTGTTTTACTCTTTTTCTTCTCTCCATTGCTCTTGTTTGCCTTAGATTTCCGACTCAGCCAGTTGAAGCGATAACTAAAATATGAATATGTAATGTTGTAACACAAGTAAATTACAAGTATTCTCAATGATATATAGTTTATGTGCCGTATTCAGGTTGCATCATCGTCATCATCATCACAACCATCGGCACCATTGGCATTGTATGAAGTTTGCTGTGCACTGAGGAGAGACAAACGGAGGCAGAGAAATGGAATGTTAACGCAATTTTTCTATGTTATTTATGTTCTGTTTTGTATAAATTTGATTCAACTTAAATCGTGTTACAAAATTTTTGACCATTGAAAAGGGTATTCTACGGAAATGAATTTCTCCGGGTGAGATAAATGAATTTGAATGACAATAGTTTGCAATCTGGGCGTTGGGCTAAGAAGATTATTTGCAAATGAATTTTCACATAATTTCACAATTCACAGGCCCACGCACAATGAGCGCTTTAATGAATTGACCAGCAAACAGACGGGAGAGAGGGAAAGGAAGAAATCAGTTGGATTGTAGGGACCTAGGAATACGGAAATAAATTGTTCCATTTATAGTTAAATTTCATTTGTATGCCAAGTATTTTGGAATGGAATCTGGAATTTGCACTATCCGGCGGCTCAAGAGC